AAAAGGAAATAAACAAACAATACCTGCTACCACTGAAAAATACAAAAAACAGGAGCAACAAAATGAAAACTGAGAACTAAAATCACAACAAAATAACAACAATACAAGATATTGACAACCATTCAAGAGTTTGCTAAACTTTTAATGTTAAAATTATTACACTGAAAAGAAAAGTTATTTATTTTTTATAATTATATAGAAGTAATGTCTGGCAATAATTAACCTGAGAGACCAATTATTCTTCTGAAAGCATTTCCTCAATTTGTTTTTTCAACCTTTTCCGTGCTAAATATCATAAAATATCTTTCAATGTAGAAACTATTCCATTGAAAAGAAAAATTATTAAATTTTTATATACAAGTGATGTCTTTTAACAATTGACTGGAGAGACCAATTTAAATATTCTGCAAGCATTTTCTCACTTTCCATCTATTATCATGATTCGATCATTTGTTTTTGATGCAATAATGTACATGTATATCAATTCTTAAGTCAATAAATATAGGCTGTTAACCTTGTATGTTGAAGGTTACAACTTGAGTTGTTAATAAGTGTTGTGAGTTAGATTTAAGCCAATAACCCCAACGCTGAAGTCTTGTAAATTATGAGGCTAGATTAACTAAGGGCCAAATTATGAGGCTAGATTAAATAAGGGCCAAATTACGATGCTAGATTAACTAAGGGCCAAATTATGAGGCTAGATTAACTAAGGGCCAAATTACGAGGTTAGATTAAATAAGGGCCAAATTACGATGCTAGATTAACTAAGGGCCAAATTATGAGGCTAGATTAACTAAGGGCCAAATTACGAGGCTAGATTAAATAAGGGCCAAATTACGATGCTAGATTAACTAAGGGCCAAATTACGACGCTAGATTAACTAAGGGCCAAATAACGAGGCTAGATTAACTAAGGGCCAGTATAATGTTATAAATTCCATAAGAATTTCTTCACAAACTGATAATTATTGAAGACAATTTATGGTCACTGAATATTCAAATGTCTCTGGTCAATTTTGCTAAACAATATAATCTTTTCGGTAATAAACAGTACTTTTCTGAAGACTTTCTTCTTTTTTTAAATTTTAGTACCCGGTAGAATGAACTCTTGAATGGTAACCAAATACTATGAAAAGAAATAATAAAACAAACAGTACAACATATCATTACAATATTGATTAAATGCATAAAGAAACAATACTGTAGATTTGTGCACATTATAAAAAGATATAACAAATATAGCAGCAGGTGAAATCTGAAATATTTCAATGTATCTTAAAATGCAGTAGGAAAGTTCTTCTGGTAAATCCTTAAATAAATAAATGTTCAAATTTAACCAATTCAATAGTCACACAAATGCACCTGAAAACATTTCTATAAGTAAAGAAAATTAGAAAATTAACTTTAGTTTTGCAATTTTAAATACACATAGTTACATATACCTAAAATGAACATTGCCAAAACAAAAGAGAACCTTTTTTCAAGGTAATGACGTAAGACAACAATTTGTACAACAGGAGAATCTGAATTTTCAATGTAAGTTCAATGTAAGGACATTTGAGCCGCGTCACTACAAAACCAACATAGTGCGTTTGCAACCAGCATGGATCCAGACCAGCCTGCGCATCCGCGCAGTCTGATCAGGATCCATGCTGTTCGCTATCAGTTTCTCTACTTGTAATAGAGTTGGTAAGCGAACAGCATGGATCCTGATCAGACTGCGCGGATGCGCAGGCTGGTCTGGATCCATGCTGGTCGCAAACGCACTATGTTGGTTTTGTCATGACGCGGCTCATTTCATACCTGTTGTAGTTAAAATACTTTTTCCTGTAATAAGGGCAAAATTTTATCCAAATGACAGCCGCCATTGGTGTTGTAACAAAATAAATTGATGAAAAAAAAACAAAAAACGACATGATGGCTACAAACTATTAAACCTAAAAGCATTGATAATATTGAATTTAAAAAAAGTGCAGTTTGTAAATAATCAAAATTATAATATCTATAAATGGATGCAACAGAATGCCAGCTGAAAAAACAATATGTTTAAACTTAAGAATTGGCTGAATTTAATAATCTGATATTGAACAGTTTGTCACTTGGTGCAGTAACAGGTTAACTCCTTATATGATTTAATAGGAGTAAACCCTTTACAGCACTGAGATAACAAGTTATTTGTCTTGTTTTTAATGTGGAATAGGTAGATCTCAAACTTAAGACAAAAAGAATTCTTGTTTGAAGGTGAAACAAATTTTTCAACAGTTTTAAGCAACCCTGACAATAAAACCAATTGATAGAATGATATCATATGCCAATGAGTAAATGAAAAATACTGCATTTAAAACTATTCACAAGAATTGTGTAAGAAAAAAATTTTGAATTGAAAAATAATGCTTTTTGGAACTTACACAATTGATAAATCTTTATTTGATCATCATATCTATGATATACATGTAAAACAATAAAAAAATTGTGTTACAGGATCTTTAACTACAGGTTATTTTTATAATTCAATTTGAGCACATTTGCTCCGGTTAAAACACATTGATTTTTCATAATTTTCCTGTTTCATAAAAGAAATACCAAATTATAAAAATTGAAAGTATAAATAAACAACAAAATTATGAAAATAAAAAGTCTAGATTGAAGTACCTTCTTCCTGGAGGTTTCTTTAGTAACTGTTTGACAATTTCTGGGTTGTTTCTGCAATACTCAGTCACTGTTACCAGTGTCCCACTCAGACTTGTGATATAACCCCACATAGCTCTAGAAACAATAATATTATCATGCATTCACTACTGAACGATTCTGTTGCAAGTATTTTAAAGAACTGTTCTTCAAGTAAAGTTTTAAAAAAATTGACACAAGAAATAAGCTGCGTCATGACAAAACCAACATAATGCATTTGCGACCAGCATAGATCCAGACCAGCCTGCGCATCCGCGCAGTCTGATCAGGATCCATGCTGTTCGCTTACCAACCCTATTACAAGTAGCAAAATTGATAGCGAACAGCATGGATCCTGATCAGACTGCGCGGATCCATGCTGGTCGCAAACGCATTACGTTGGTTTTGTCCTGACGCAACTCAAATGTTTTGTTTTCTAAATGTCAGAATCAAATACATTCCTATTCTAATTTATGACATCATTAAGCAAACATTTTCATAAAAGATAGCCAAGTCCTGGTTTAGTATCTTGAAATTTCCTATTACAAAGTAATGTCTTTTTTGCATTATAACAATTAGACTGTAATATATACATTAGTACTTGCCTCAATCATCTCTTTACAAAATATTTCAGATATTTTGACTAAAAACCTAACTTGTATTAACTTACGTATCATGAGGGATGTCCCCGGCCCCACTTTCAATCATGCCACTAGCTGTGTTCAGATAAACCCACAGGAAGAACCTCAAGAATGGCCTCTTCAGGTTGTCATTGATATTCGGATTGTTAAGAACTTTCAATAACTCCGGAATCTTGAATATTGTCTGACAGATTGACTCAATAAACCTGTTTTCTCCCTATGAATAGAAAAGAGAAGCAATTATTGAGTGATATTTCTTTACATACTCCATTGGATAGAATGTCACCAGCCAACTTGAGTTTTTTCTTCTTCTTTTTTTTTAAAGTCTTGTGTTCCGAAAACATTCAAAGATAATTTGTTTGTTTGTTTCATTTTACACCTTTTCCCAACAGTATTTCAGTCATATAGGCAGGTAGTTTCCTAACCATTGTTCCTGGTGAGTTACTACCTTCCTCCGCGCTAAACTACCAAAGCATCTCCCGGGGATCGAACCCACGCCAGAGAGGTAACTGGATTAGAAGTCATCGACTCTAACCCCTCGACCACGGAGGCGGTCGAAAAAAAAGTAGAAATGGCCACATATGCCTCCAAGTGACACTGCTTTGTCAGTCTTCAGACAAACAAGATGACAACAGGACAAACTTACAAAGTAGTGGGCAAGAGGAAGAGAGGGGGGGGATAAAATCTATTTTTCATTCATTTCACAAAGAAACAGAGCAATTTCCAGACTTACCTCAGCACATGTAGCTAGTAGATCCACCATTGAGATCAGGAAGTTAAGATCTGTGGAGTTTGATGATGTCAGAATACTCTCCCTGAAAAACAAACAGGTGGCCTTTGTCTTTAAAATGTTCATTAGGTACAAAGAAATAAATGGATGAAAACAATGTAACCAAAAAAGCCTTTTGTAACAACTTGTGTAATAAGAACAAAATTAAGCCTGTCAATGATAAAAATGTATAAGGGACATACCCTTATTTAAATTTGAATCTATTAATTGTTCATTTTAGGGGTTTTAATAACAAAGTCCTTAAATTAAGCACCAAATATTATAGGGTTTGGTCTGATTGCATGGCTTAACAGGCTTGGCTGGCTCTATACTGGTAACAAATAATGTTTTTCAGTGTCAACAATTGATTGATTAAAATGCCGCAAATTTTTGTTTAGAAAAATCTGGCAAATCTTTCTTGTCCTCATAGGTTATAAGAAATATTACTGTAATAAATTAATTGTATGTTAGTGCTGAAAGTGGCTGCCTTTCTAACCAAAAATAGTGGGTTTGAATTTGACCGGGGAGAAGACCACAAACTTTTGTGTCAAATTAATCTATTTTGCTTGCTGGATTCAAAACCCAGATGCCACATGTGACCATCTTAAAAAGCGACTCACAGAGCAACAGATAAGGTGCGTATTTGCGTATTTACACTATTAAATTTATAAAATACGCAATTGATTTTTTAAGAATGCGTATCAAAACCCATTAAAAAAAGTAAAATACGCAATTGTCTTTAAAACCCGTGCGTATTGTCATTTTCATCACCGCAAAATTAATCTGTCGTACGCTCGTAGTTTTGGACAAATTATATCGATATGCATGCTATCCGAATATTCCCGAATCAATGCTAACTATTCAACCGTCTCCGGTCTTGACGGTCCCCGGTCTCTAAAGACCGACTAAGCCATATCAATAAAGCATGAGACCGTCGATTTGTCTACTCAGGTCGACGGTCTTTACAGATCGGCAGAGACCGTTGATTTTGCGGAGACCGTCAATAAGTAGGTCCAAGCTGTATCAATAGACGCTTTGAAAGCAATATGGTGTCGTACAAAAGGGAAAATGATTTGGAACAAAACAGTCGTAAATAATCAAAAATCAGTCAGAAAACGATAAAGTATTATGAAATATAACATGAGCATTTTATATAAAAAATAAAACAATTGTGAAAAGTTCTAGTAAATTGTTAATCCTTTTTTTTTTTAAAACAGTTTAAATTTTATTGATATTGAAACCATAAAATTCATATCTTCATAATTGAATACCCAATTGATCTTGAAATCATAGGGTATCAATTTTTGGAATACCCAAATAAATGGAGCCAATACCCAATTCCAAAGGAAATGATGGAGTAATACCCAATTCACTTTTAAAGCTTATCTGTTGCTCTGGACTCATATATCAGACAATACCAGTTTTCTAGCTAGACTTTTATATAATGTTAAACAACGCTAAATGGTTCTGTACAAACCTTGCTTTTTCATCCTGGTCAATAACAGCTGCAACCTCTGACCTAAACTGCATGAAGTATGTCATGACAAAACCTTGGTTACGTTTCAACGGCAGATCTAACTCTTCCACTTTGACAACGGCATTGAGGAGGTCTAAGAACTGTGGAACTTGAGACTTGTTTTCTGCCACAAGGGCCATAATCTTCTGTACTTGATGTTGGGCTATTTTCATACATGTCTTAGAATTTCCAGTAAACACCTATGATAAAAAATGACACTTTTAATAATGAATTTATGCACCTTCCTTTTTCTGATTAAAATAAATTAGATACTTAGCAATTAATTTTGTATGATAATTATTACTTATTGAGCAATAATCATAACAAATAAAACTAGAACTATCACTAAATGTGATTAATATCCCCCCAAGACTGCTTCAGAAATGAGGAAGTTACTAGTAACAGTATACCTTGTACAAGAATTGAACTAGAGTTATGGTTGTTGGCAATTAAAGATAGTTGTGGTTCTTGTATGTTGCATTTCCTTTCACTGTGGTTGACAATTGAGTTATTGTGCATTGCACTTCCTCTTATTGTCTTTAACCATTGTATTAAGTTGTATTGAATTCCAACCAGTACTTTTCTAGTTATGCTCCGGACAAGGAAAAGTAACAAAGGGCAATAACTCTGTAATTAGTCAAGATGGAGCTATGGTTCTTATGCACTGCACTTCCTCTCAATGTGCTTGATCATTGTATGAACTTGTATTGAATTCCAACCATTAGTCTCTAAGTTATGCTCCTGACAAGGAAAATGCAACAGACCACTAGACCGACCAACAAACCGACTGACTCCTATAGACTATAATGAGACTTGAACCAAAGTACACATGTACGAATGAAATTCCAAAAGTTCAAATTATTCTTATTGAGAAATCAGTTACCTCTGTAAGTGCCTCCGCCAGCTCTGGTGCCGCACCTTCTTTGCCTAGAAGTAGGTCAAGACGGTCAAACAAGCGTTCTTGTACAACTTGATTTTCTCTGGCTAGACGTTTCAACAGAATAAATGTCTTCTCAAACACCTGACGTAACCCAGTGTACTGGTCCTAATAAAAAAAAAATTTTTTTATCATAATAGCAGATCGTTTGAAATAAAATTTTGAATGTTTTAAGTTCAAAAATGATAATAAAAGAATAAAAAACCAACACAATTAGTGGAGAAACAAATGAAAAGCAGTCTGCATTCAATATTTTTTAATGTCCTTCAAAACTGTATTGACACAGAGTGCATTCTTAAAGGTTTACAGCTGATGTTTAAAATCTAAGTAGACGATGATTTAGAATAAGTTAATATACCCGGTACATGTTGAAACTATTTTCATAAACATGCATTTAAAAAGGGGATGAATGCAAAATATATATCCACCCTACCACAATTAAAGACTAAATTATTTCAGACTGATTTTGATATTCATAGTAAAAAATCATTTATTGAACAGTAATACCATCAAACCAATCAATTAATATATAGAGGATATTTGTGTGTTTATGTGAAGATGAAATTTTATTTCATTGAATGATCTATAAAAACAGTATTCGCACGAGTGGCGTAAAAGAATCAAATCTTACCAGCAATTTGACATCAATCTCTTGAGACAGGATAGAAAATGCATCCTCAATGATTCCTGAAATAAAAATCATGATTCCTAAAGTATCACTTTATACATGCTGTAAATAGCTACTATGAATGAATGTAGGTAAAACTAATACATTAAGACAGTGTTGATCTTAATATCAAATTCAATATTGTCTTATAAGTGTGTTTTGTTTGATGGGTTTTAATTCACACAAAAACTAATTAAGTCATATGGTGACTTTTAAACTTTTTACTGGTGGAGGAACACCTCAGATGCCCTTCCGTTCATTATTTCAGACACAAACGGGCACCTGAGTAGAACCATTTAACGTTCTGAAGCTAGCTGGATAGCTTCCTCACATGAAAGAATCCAAATTCCTTGAACGGATTTGTACCTACAGTTGTAAGGTGCAAGTGATCTAATACAAGTGAATTATCTTATATGTGAGCTGTCTTACAATGGTAAACTGTCAAATAATGTGAATTGCTTTGAAAAGAGAACGTACCATTATTGTAAAGAATGCTCTGGTTCATGGAATGTGGCTCCTCCTCTTCACCATCCAAGTGACAAAAACTACAATGATAATATTACCATCCGTCAAACAAGTGACAAAAACTACAATAATAATATTACCATCAGTCAAACAAGTGACAAAAACTACAATAATAATATTACCATCAGTCAAACAAGTGACAAAAACTACAATAATAATATTACCATCCGTCAAACAAGTGACAAAAACTACAATAATAATATTACCATCCGTCAAACAAGTGACAAAAACTACAATAATAATATTACCATCAGTCAAACAAGTGACAAAAACTACATTCTAACACGACTCGCATTTTTCCCTATTGAACATAGAAGAACCGAAAGTGTGTGTTATTTTGCTATAAAATCACTGTTTGACGTTCTATATTTAGACCTGTGACGTAATCATTATACACGTGACGTAACCACTAAAAATGTGACGCGCTGACAATAAGTACGGAAACAAAAAAGGCGCAATTTACCTAAATATCAGGTACGGCAGCATTTATTTGTTGATGTCGTGTTAGAATCGAAATAATATATCCAAATCGGTGATTTTATTGCTTGATAACATCACTGTTTGTCGTTCGGATGCGCATCATTATATCACTCGGGCTACGCCCTGGTGATATAATTCCTCGCATCCGAACTCCAAACAGTGATGTTATTGAGCAATAAAATCACAGTTTGGGATATATTATTTCTTAAATAATAATATAGAAATACCGTCAGTCAATATAACATTTACTTAATTTGTAAATGCTGCATGCCAGTCCAGTTGAGCCAAAATATTTCAAGAAATTCAATCTTTAGAAAAATGTATTTAAGATCTTAAGAAAACTAAAAGGATTCAATATATAATTAGTTATTTACATGTTATGTGCGATTAATGACTGATTTTGCAGTCTCATCACTATCATTCTACTGCGTTACTAACGCAGTTGTACTGCGTTACTAACGCAGTAAGAGGTATTAATGTATATTTTGACCTCTTTTTGGTAATTTACGTGGATTGCAAGTTCTGTTTGCAATGTGTAAATTACTTTCTTCATTCACTTTATAGCGACATATACATTCTGTTAACTCTGTTCTTTCATACTAGGAGTTACTGTAACTTGTACTTCATTAAGGTGACAAATTTTTTCAGGCATTTTTGGTTGTATGTAATAGTTATAAAAAAACAGTCATGTACCAATATATAAATTAAAATTTGTGCAACTACCAAAACACATCAATGATTTATAGTTAAGAATTATTTTGTTAACATACTTAAAAGCATTGATAAACAACATAATCTCTGTGAATTGCAATTGGAGTTGGAGTAAAACAATTATGGCACAAAGTTTTCTTTTAATATTCTGGCAAATCAAACATATTACATTCCTTATATTGTCGAAGTCTATATAAGAATATATCTAATAATATAGTTTGTCAAACTGTGGCCATTTTACATTATCCAAAAAATGAAAATGTTGATATTTTTGAACGCCTATTTAAAACAAACATAAGAAGGTGTTTTCTTACTGTATGAATGTTTCTAGAATATTTGCCAACTGGTTTGCCTCACTGTCTCCCAGTTTGTTTGCTGATAATCTCCTCAATACTGGCAACTTCTCCTCCAACTCCTTGTATACATTCACTGAACCATCTGTGATCAATACCTGCAATAAAATTATGTATACAGTTGACATTTGCAACAGTGGCTTTTAACTGTAACTTGATATGAGCCGCGTCACGACAAAACCAACATAATGGGTTTGCGACCAGCATGGATCCAGACCAGCCTGCACATCTGCGCAGTCTGATCAGGATCCATGCTGTTCGCTTACAGACCCTATAACAAGTAAAGAAACTGATAGCGAACAGCATGGATCCTGATCAGACTGCATGGACGCGCAGGCTGGTCTGGATCCATGCTGATCGCAAACGCATTACGTTGGTTTTGTTGTGATGCGGCTCATATATATTATCTACTGGAAAAGTTTCATGACTTTCCTTTCCTTTAAATAGCTGTTAAATAGTAATTGAGCTCCTGTGAGCTCCTGTGCCTTTCTGTACTCAAGTTTGACCTTTACCTAGTTAAGCTAGATTATAATGGATAAAATAACAAGGGTTTTTCCATGACATTTTTATTTTGTATTTTTTAAAGTGCCCTTGACATTGAATAATTGTAGTACATTTGAAGTATATGCAATTAATAGTCATTTTGTAAATGTGAAAATTATTTGCTGTTATATTGAGGTAACTTAAACAATATGCGTGCCTAAGACACACCAGTTATAAGACAGAGCTCAAACTTTTCATATTACAATTGGCAGTAAAAATATTATTCAACAAGTAAAAGATCGATAGTGTAAAATGAAAAAGTTTACCTGTGCCTGCACTGCTCTTTGATAGAGATTGTTGTGAGCAGAGAAATATCTGTTAAGTAGGTGCATAGACTTGCGTACCATATCATCATACTCATAGTGGGACAAATCCTGAAAAAGAAAAAAACTTCTGATTATTTTTCTTAAACTAATACAGCTAAAAACACAATGGCACTCTATTTCAACAGAGTAAAAACTAAAATCTTAATTTGATTGCCCGCACTTAATTTTTTATCAATTTTAGTACATTTAGATAAATGTTAAAATATGAGGAAATATATGATAAAATGCCAATCCTGCCCCTAGTGCAATCCTTGCTAACCAAAATACAGATTCCAAATTTGCAGTTGACTCTACCAAATTCCTATCATTTTAATCCCTGAGAGAGTGGGGGATAATGATTCTGAATTAAAAATCTTAATTTACCAGCATTAGAAGCAGACCCATTTCATGCATCTATAGTCATCTATAGTGTAACGCCAACATTTAGCGTCTTTACACTATGTTTGTATAACGCTTATGACATCACATCAAATTATATGTATGGCTGTGCAATACCATTTTTACTGAGTCACAAAATCTGCATGGGTATCTGTAAAAACCTTATTTAACAAACAGTTACGCAAATGACATCTTGTCAAAATATATGCATCGCCGTGCAAGATATACCATTTTTACGGAGTTGCAAAATCAGCACGAGTTTGTGATATAAAACCTTATCTAACACTAAGTATATTTAATGTACAGTACTCACAAGAAGTATCTCTGTAATCTCATATCCCTTCATGAATGAAGTAATCTCAAATATCTCCGTTAGTTTCCTCATACCAGCTCTAGCTACCCTGTCAAACACAAAGAAAATATCTGATTTAATCTCCAATATGAGTTAAAGAACAAGACAAATATTCATATCCTGTTTTTATTTTTGTTGATGACAGTCACTATTTATATTCAGATCTTTTGGGACATAAGAAAAAAACGTTTTGCATGGGATCAATGAATTGTACAAATAAGTAAAACAGAAGATTATCATTTGGATTATGTTTGTACTTTCAAAATGCATAAAAAAGTCTTGCAACTAGTTAGATAAAACATGTATAGAATTATAGATTATAATTTAAGAATCATACATGACGAATAATAACATTTCAGAATGATGCTGTTAAAATAAATTAAAGAAAGACTTGAAAAGTCAGTAATTTTCTGTTAATACTAAGAATAGTTCAGTACTTATAAGGTCTGACACCTCTGAAATTAACATAAATGTAATTAAACTTGGCTTTTGACTCCTATATAACAAGTCAAAATTTCTAGGGAAATGTTGTCTGCATAAGTTGACAAAGATGGTCTGTCGACTAGGAAAGTTTCTATACAAAAATGGCACATGATATAAATTTATAAACAGTAATTCAACAATCAATGGAAACATTTCTTGTATATGTAAACCACTGAGATGTTGATGTAGGATTCTTGTTAAAAAATTAAATGTTTAAAAAAAAGGCATTTTTACAACAACAATAGGCCTTAAAAGACCTTTTTACAACAATAATCCAGGGTCAAAATATACAATTTCATCTTAAGAAGAATTCTCAAAAATGGTGAGAGATATACCATATTTCAAGGTGCATATATAACCAATACTAGTATATTAAGTATATGAGCTGCGTCATGACAAAACCAACATAATGGGTTTGCGACTAGCATGGATCCAGACCAGCCTGCGCATCCGCACAGTCTGATCAGGATCCATGCTGTTCGCTATCTGTTTCTCTACTTGTAATAGGGGTTGTAAGCGAACAGCATGGATCCTGATCAGACTGCACGGATGCGCAGGCTGGTCTGGATCCATGCTGGGCGCAAACGCACTATGTTGGTTTTGTCATGACACGGCTCAATTATATTTAAAACAGCATTTTAGGTCAAGAATACTCATCATGTAATTTTAGGAAATGTTTGTTCACATTTTATGCTCCCCAAAATAAAGTAAAGAAAGATAAGATTTGATTTAAAGTAAGTTAATATTCTAAGCATGCAATTAAACTCATCTATATATGTATCTAAGTCATCATGCAGGAAATTTAATAAAACTTAGTCTAAAATTATATAAAACAGCACAATCATGCATTCACAGAAATTGCCTGAAAATAAAATGTTTGTTAAAAATGTCACAATTTTTACAAACAGGGGAATATGTGGCATGTATTCTAGTAGAGCTATATCCATACATGTTGTTTTAACATCACATCAAAGATCTGGCACCACTTTCACTATGTTCATATCTCAAAGTCACAATCTCAGCTCAGATAGTTTAGACGTTTATATCACTGGACATTAACCGTGTCATGACAAAACCAACTGAGTGCGTTTGCGACCAGCATGGATCCAGACCAGCCTCTGCATCTGCGCAGTCTGATCAGGATCCATGCTGTTTGCTATCAGATTCTTTACTTGTAATAGGGTTTGTAAGCGAACAGCATGGATGTGCAGGCTGGTCTGGATCCATGTTGGTCGCAAACCCATTATGTTGGTTTTGTCATATCACTGAACATTTTTCTTTTGGACTAAAGCATTCTTTTTAATGTAACAAACAGTAATGGGGTTTGACAAAGTAGTTCAACCTTAAGTAAAAACCTATTCACAATTAGTTAACTGTTCTGAGAAAAATACTTTTTCCAGGTATGGTATTTAACCAGAATTGAGGTCTGATTTTGAAATAGATGAAAATGCTTCATTTTGCCGGATAAATTTTTACTTAATTATCTTTTTAAAAGGTAAAATAAACTCAGATAAAACTCAGATTATATATTGTTGTAAATTCATTTTACACCTGAAAGAAGTGTTATGGTTCAAAGTTTAAAAAAAAAAAGATCTTCTTATTACCTTTATGGCAAAGTTTTATTCTTTACTTTTATGAGAAAATGTTTTAATTTTATTTCTTAATGTAAAAAAAAAATATTTCTAACTTTTTGTCAAATAGTTATACACAATTCTTCAATTTTGTAATAAAGGAATAAATATATAATATATATATATATATATATTTATATAAAAAACAACCATACAACTTAAAGCAACATGAATTGTAAAAATAAATAACACTTGACGCTGTGTTCTCTGTAATTAACTAAAAAATCAACCCATAATGTGTATTCACAAAAATTAAATGAGAAAGAAATAAAAAAAAAAGTGAAAATGAAATTTGTAATGAAAAAGAAAATATATATACAATGAAGATTTATATAAAAAGGTGACCATTTCAACCCTTACCTCCAGTCTATGGCTGATTCACTTAAATATTTAAATTATAGACAAATTAATTGTTTGATAATTAACTGTGTACTTGTTGCAGTAAAATCTGACATTGATATCATCAACCTAAAAATCAACCTAAAAATTCTGATATTGTTAATGAAAAAAAATAGGTAGCACTAGCTTCAGCTGTGTCAAAACTTAAGACTAAACACTGAACTTTTGAAGTTCTTCACTTGACTTTACTTGACTTCTTATACTGAACTTTGAATTCTTATGCTAAAACTGGAATTCTTAACCTGGATTTCTTATACTTAACCTGGAATTCTTATTCTTAACCTAAAATACTTAACCTGGAATTCTTATTTTTAACCTGAAATTCTTATACTTAATCTGAAATTCTTATACTTAACCTTGCAATCTTATTCTTAACCTGGAATTCTTATTCTTAACCTGGAATTCTTATACTTAACCTGGAATTCTTATTCTTAACCTGGAATTTGTATACTTAATCTTGAATTCTTATACTAAATCTGGAATTCTTATACTTAACCTGGAATTCTTATTCTTAACCTGAAATTCTTATACTTAATCTGGAATTCTTATACTTAACCTTGAATTCTTATACTTAACCTTGAAATCTTATTCTTAACCTGAAATTCTTATTCTTAACCTGAAATTCTTATACTTAATCTGGAATTCTTATACTTAACCTTGAATTCTTATACTTAACCTTGAAATGTTATTCTTTACCTGAAATTCTTATTCTTAACCTGGAATTCATAAACTTAAGCCTGAAATTCTTATACTTAAGCCTGAATTTCTTAACCTGGAATTCTTATACTTAACCTCAAATTCTTATTCTTAACCTGGAATTCTAATACCTAACCTGGAATTAAGATATTTTTATTTTTTTTCATGCAGAGTGGGCTACCTGAGCAATTGCATAGTTTATCATGAAAAAATATTAATAAGTTGCTTTTAAAATGATGAATATTTTTTTTATTATTTTAAAATTCATATAATGGTGTAATTATTTATTGAATATCATCATCATAATCATTGTCAAGCTGAAAAGAAAATTACAGGTTTTATTTCTAACCATTTGAGCTGTGTCATGACAAAACCAACAAAGTGCATTTGCGACCAGCATGGATCCAGACCAGCCTGCACATCTGCGCAGTCTGATCAGGATCCATGCTGTTCGCTATCAGTTTCTCTACTTGTTATAGGGTTTGTAAGTGAACAGCATGGATCCTGATCAGACTGTGCGGATGCACAGGCTGGTCTGGATCCATGCTGGTCGCAAACGCAGTTGTTGATTTGTCATGGTGCGTCTCAAATTTTAATGTCATAATACCATGCTAGAATCATTACAATCTAAAACAGTGTCTTGCAAGGTTCAGAGTAGAGAATGTTAGGTTAGAGTAGGGTTTTAACAGTGTATCAATATTATTAGATAAATATAACTAAAACTGTAAAACATTAAAAATGTACTCTAGATTTTTAGTGTCCACTGTGATTTTTCGGTATTGCCATTTCTTTTTATCTCTGAAATCTATGTCATCTCTACAAATAAAGTAGCATGGTATTTCAATGGTGTGCATAATGTATTTTGATAAATTTTTGCTTGTTTTCAAATGACTAACACTATAATCATTAAAATCATTAAATTTGGCAACTTCCAGGTTTACTAGTGGAGAAAGATCTCCACCTTTGTGCACAAGATGGCACCTTCATCATTGAACCATTGCAAATTATGATAGCTAATAAGACTACTTTTTTTTCAGGGGCCTGTTTTCAACTTTTGAATAGAAATTTTGTCATTCAAGCATATAAATAATTGCTCAAACATACATGTGATAGCAGGAGACTCCCACTTTCTGCAGCAATATTTTCAAAGATTTTTTTTTAAAAATAAGCGGTATTTTCACAAATTAAAGAAATCTCCCTATTTTTGAAGTCAGAACTTCCTTCTTTGTCTTTTGCAAATTCTAAAATCTCCCTCTTTTTGATGTAGATCTCCCACTTGATCATCAAAAAAAGTTCACATGTATGCTCAAAAGACAATTACAAGCAATGTCTAAGATCAATTGTCATGGAACAATTTCTGAAGATTGAACAAGCCACCCATGGATTAATTATTTGATACTCTCACTATTGAGCTAAGTGGGTGGATCAACTAGCAATGGTGTGGTGTGTACTACTTTTTTTAAAGGGAGACTTATTCAAACATTAAAAAAAATTTATTAAATGAGATGATACAAAGTGAAAAGAATTACGACATAAGTGTTTCTTTGTAAAGTTAAAAGTTACATGATATAGTATTATTCATTCTGTAACTGACCATACCAGACTGTTCAAATTTTACATGCCTACAGTCTACCATTTTATGCTAAATATCTTTTTTTTTGTTTTATTATACAAACAATTAAGATCACAAGAAATATATACTGGGACACACAAACCAAGGGTAGTGATATTATTTGCATAAAAAACTTGTTCATGTATAGAAGTGACAAAATTTTGACAACAGAATTAATACAAAATAGACAGCAGTTTGTGTAAAATTGAGCCGCGTCATGCAAAAACCAACATAGTGCGTTTGCGACCAGCATGGATCCAGACCTTAGCCTGCGCATCCGCGCAGTCTGATCAGGATCCATGCTGTTCGCTATCAGTTTCTCTACTTGTAATAGAGTATGTAAGCGAACAGCATGGATCCTGATCAGAGTGCGCGGATGCTGGTCGCAAACCCGTTATGTTGGTTTTTTCATGACCCAGCTCATATTATAATTATTACACAGAGAGTATAAAAAATGTAATATTTATAAAGAATTCAAAGGGGGGAGGATAATTAAATAATGTCTATCTGCATCAGATTTACATTCACTTACGGTTGCATACTTTCTTTAAGTACTTTTGCCCTGCATACATAGATGTTTGAATATATGAACAAAATGTATTGTAGATTTGAGCCGCGCCATGACAAAACCAACATAATGGGTTTGCGACCACCATGCTGTTCGCTTACTCTATAACAAGTAGAGAAACTGATAGCGAACAGCATGGATCCTGATCAGACTGCGAGGATGCTCAGGCTGGTCTGGATCCATGCTGGTCGCAAACGCACTATGTTGGTTTTGTCGTGACGCGGCTCATTTATATTATTACATGTACATTGTGTATTAGTTATAAAGATTTTTGACAGGTTATATGGCCCTATATAAATGGTTGTTTTGAAATATAACCTGAGCCACTAGGTCAGGGTTATATAACAAACAACCATTTATATTTGGCCATATAACAAACATGTCAAAAATATTTAATAACAAATTATACTACAGTACCAGTACCACTTTTTAAAGTTCAGTTTTTACAGAAACAATGCCAATAAATTGCAATTCACAGTACCAATCTGTGCTTGGGTATTGTGCGATAATAAGGCTTTGACCTTGTGGATTTTTATTTAAACATGTGCATTTATTACACAACAAACACACAAATCTTTTTCAAATGTGATTTCCACATAATATCAAAGTTGTTCCTATCTAATTTTTGAGTAGTTTTACAAAACTGCTTGACCTTTAAACTCTTCTTTATAAAGCAATAAGTCTTTTCTTTTCATTAAAATGACCTACACTGACAATCTAATATATGATTGCCATACCTTTTTTTCCAATATAAAAATCATAGTTTCTAAATGCACAACTAATCTATAAGCAGACAATGTACTAATCAATATCTGGACAATATTCTAACATTTATAAACAAATCTAAACCATTTAACTAAAATACAAAATGTAACTGACTTACAAAATAACAAACCATCAGGTTACACAATTACAATTTATCTTATACATGTATGAATTGTTACAGATTTTTTTTTCAATGTGGTATACATACCCTGCATTTGTTTCCAACTCAAAACTGTCATACATAAGGGGAGCTAATTCTGCCACACCTCCAGGTTGGTTGGCAATCTGATTGGTTGTTTTGAAAAGGTTGATGAATTTCTGAAAATAAGGATTTCTGTTAATTTGATGTTTTATTATTAACTTAAAAATTGACCAAAAATCAACAATGTAACATCCATAGAGGATTACAACAGTATTTTTTTTAATTCAACATAAATTATGATAATGACCTTTTCAATGGACAAGTGGTTAATGCATTGCACTAGTTATCTAAGGACTGTTGGCTGCATGGGTCAGAGGCAAGGCATTGTTTCATTGAGCAAGAAACTTTACACTCATTGCTTAGTACTGGTTGGTTCAAGGAACAGATTATAAACCTAAAGTTTCTTACATAATAGAACTCAAATATATTCTGTAATTATAAACTAATCAGCCCTATTAAGGGATAAAATAACAAAGCACCTTTTTATAAACATTAAGACTTATCTAGTAGACTAATGTCCTTGGTTTTAAGTACTAAATTATGATAGTCATATAAGTCATATAGGTGTGAGAGACATTTAACAACATTGTGTCCAGGGACACCTGTTTTCCTTCACTGTTGCTTGATACAGCCTTGGATATCATACAGTAACCTCCTGTATCCAAGACGGATTATAAATCTAATAAGAGATAATCTTTATGAAAGAAAAATGAAAAAGTGTTATTTTTCTTTGTAAAAAAGGATAAACACATTAAAATGTGTCTTACCTCCAGCCTGATGTTGAAAATGAAGTTGAAAAACAAATCCAACACTTCTAGTGCTCTGAAATAAAATCAAACAAAAAATGTCACAATAAATGACAACTTATATGAATATAATTTAAAGTATTTAATAGCTTGCTTTTACAATTTTCAAATGATAAATATCATATTTAAAACAAACTTACTGCACTTTGGCCTCCACGATGGCCTTTGTTTCTGGACTGGGTTTGAATCTCTCAGACTGGCGGAACACTGCAAGTATCTCCTGAGCCTCTTTCCCTGAAAATGATAATTAAGCCACTTCATGACAAAACCAACGTAATGCGTTTGCGACCAGCATGGATCCAGACCAGCCTGCGCATCCGCGCAGTATGATCAGGATCCATGCTGTTCGCTTACAAACCCTATTACAAGTAGAGAAACTGATAGCGAACAGCATGGATCCTGATCAGACTGCGCTGAGGCACAGGCTGGTCTGGATCCATGCTGGTCGCAAATCCACTATGTTGGTTTACATACAGATTAAATAGAAGTTTTGAGACACTGGATGGTCAGTGATAAGGATATTGTATGGTTCGAAGGATTGTTACTATAGACAGTTTTCTTATGACAGGAACATTCTATCTCTGAGAACCTTTGGTTCCTCTTATCACATTTCCTTCATATTACAAGTATTTCACTAGAAACTGAAGAATCAATGCCTCTTTATCCTTTTGTTAGGTTATCCAAAGTGTAATAAATATATAAAAAGATGTTGGCAATTATTAGGAGAATTTAGGAGATGTTCTGAGTCACATTAATACAATCTCAAAGGCAGAGGTTATTGTGTAATAATGCTCTTACTTGTTCAGTCTGTTTATTTGGGAATAGTAAGAACCAAGATTCACATCGAAATAAAGTTACAGAAGTTACCATACCTTCACATTTTGGATAAGGTTTGTCATTTCTACCATCTAGGAGACTCATCAATGGTTCCAGTAATTTCTTGATATCCTCAGACTTGTCATAAAACCCAAACAATACCAGGTAATGTACCAACCGCAATACCTAAAAATATAACATTTTGTATTGTTGAAAAGCAAAATTTTCAAGGTTCTTAATTATTTCCATTTATCTTATTTGTAAAAAAATGCACTACTTTCTGAAACATCTTTCAAGCCAGACCCATATGGTAACTATTATATATCATGACAATATTAAAAGGGTCATGCACATTTTACTGTGAAAAGATAATTGGTCATTAATTGCTTTAAGCTCACTCTCTCCCTTATTACTTTATTATTGGATATTTCCATCTGTCGAAAAGTTAGCAAATTTAAAAATCCAGACAATTCTTGTGAGGAAATATTAGCAAATCATTTAAGGGTAGAATTTAATGAAATGTTGGTTGATATTGAAGCTAGAAAAAATGTAAGCAATTTTCATTTATTTGCGAAATTCAACAATTTTTCCACCTCACTAACTTTACCACTTATACAGTACAGTGATTTTACTACTTATATAACAGACTCTGAAAAGAGGCCTCTTCCAAATTGAAATTTTCTTTAAAATCTTGCAGTTTTAAACCAGCTTTTCTACTTCCCAAATGAGTAATTTTAGCAGTATTTTTTTCCAAAATCAAGAGGTAAGGCCTCTTCCTAATTAAGTGAGAAAAATCACTGTGACAGTATAGCTTATAAAAAGTATGCAAAATTAATAAACAGATGTTTCTGAATCATCCATGACATAATTGCAACTATCTCCCATTTGTCTTATATATAACAATAATTGGTATTTCCAGCATGGACTATTACGATGTTACTATTTTCACAAATAATTTGATCAGATGTGTATGTTATAATGAAAACCTAGACTAATTAAAATTTCTTGAAAGGAGAAAAAAAAAATTACTGTTGTATGTAATAGATACAATTATAAAATTTAATCTAAGCATACCTGTCTGACAAGCATGTTATTACCAATGAGGGATGCTGTCATGTCACCATTCCTACCCAGAAAATCTGAGATCCAATGACTGATTTGTGGAAAATACTGGTAAGTCAAAGATTGTGTATTGTCCGTTCGATTCTATAGAGCAAAAAAACAATCAACATTTTATTTAGCATAAATTATTAAATAAGTTTCAGATTATTTAAACGCTTTATCTAGATCTTTTTCCTCTACATAGTATTTAGAAGCATATGTAAGATTTTCAATTTTTCCACTATTTATGAATGATATCTAATGAAATTAAAGCAGGGAGCCAAAATAAACTCACCTTCAGGGGCAGACAACTCAAAAATGGAGGATTGTGACCCCCAAGATTTTGTGTAAACAATTTGTTTCAATCATCATTTTGAGTTGTTACTTTGCAAATTATATTAACAGATTAATTAAGAACTATACAATATGAATTGTTCATATCAACATGACTTAATGAAAAAGAAGTTGGTAGTAAAGAAGTTGTTCGAAGTGTTAGGGTTGCACATGTTAAAGACGTTTTCAGGAGTTTTCATATAGAAATATGGACAAAATTAAAACTGTTCTATAGATTTTTTTTTAAACTTGGCATGTTGTTAGAATATGATAACAGATTTGAAGCATTTTAAACGAAAAAAAAATTGGGGTCACCATTATCATTTTCGAGTTATCTGCCCTTGAATTGGATTTTCTTGTTAAATTCAAGGGCAAATAATTTACAATGAAGCGCAACAATACTTTTTCTTCATATTTTCATGAAGCTTGAATGCCAAAGTTAAGGAAATTCTATTGAGGAATTTTAACTTTGCCTAAATGTCTATTTGAAAACTCCCGAAAACGTCTTTAACCTGGATCTATACTTGCAGACATAGATCTATTATCATAACTGAAAGGAGTATCCCTCATGTACAGACTCAATCAAAATGAGTCTGCAAATTTGATGAAATTTTGCTGTTTTTAATGCTTCTGAGGAATCACTTTTTTCTTGATATTTAATATATATCACCTCCTCATTATCCACATCATCATAGATATATGACAGCTTGACTCTATCTACCACAGAATGATTGTCCGCTATGTCCACAAACATTGCTGAAAATATGCAATATCTAAATATGTTAATTCTGAAATATTTTATGTTAATTCTGAAATATCTCATGTCCATTCTCAAAAAAGTAACTAAAATATCTTATGTCAATTTTTTAAGACATAACTAAAATATCTTATGTCAATTCTTAAAGACATAACTAAAATCTCTTATGTCAATTCTTAAAGACATAACTAGAATGTCTAAATAGTTTAAGTTTACTGTAAAATCAGTACCAAAAATGTAAATTTAATGTAAGTTATAATTATATCACTATTTATTTATAATCCTAAACCAGGCAATAAAAATTACAAATTTGAATGTTTTTTTAAAAATAATGTTTCTTATAAGAATACACATTTCAATCATTACAAGATTTTGTCATACATATAGATGAGATTTGAACTTACTAATGAGCCAGCCCGCATAGCTCAATCGGTTAGAGCACGAGACTTGTAATCTCAACATTGTGGGTTCGATTCCCGGGCTGCCCAACTAAAATTTTTCTAAAATCAATCTTTCCGATGAGACTTAAATCGAGGTCCCGTGTATGGGTGCTTAAACACTTGGCACGCTAAAGAACCAGGAGAAGCCTCTGGAATTTGGACATCTTTCTGTTTATGTAATTGCACTATCCACCAAAAATTAAAATGACTAATACTCTTCTGGAGGACTTGCCCATATGGGCAAGTTGGGTGGCAAGTATAAATAAACGCAAACACACACTTACTAATGATAAGATCACAGTACATGGCTCTCAGTTGATCAGGTAATCTGTCGTCACTGAGGCAGGTAAACGCCTCCTCCCATGTCAGGTAATTCAACTCTTGTGTTATCACTGCTATTGAGTGACTGTTCTGACCCTGGTACGAAATATTTATATTATATTATATTGTATTGTATCGTTTGTTATCATATCATATCATAACATAAAATAACATAACATATCATATCATATTTTTTATATTAAGTCAACCTCTATAATAATCTTTTTTTTCAGATAAAGTTTATGAAAAAATTTTTGATTTAAAAATAACCTTGTGTTTTACAAAAATAAATTGTATTTTGAAATTGATTAGCCAAACACTGATTCAACTAATAAAACCCAAAGAATGCTGATCCATTGTAGCAAATACATGTAATGATCATTATTAGATAAATGTATTATACTTAAGTTATATTTACTATAATATCATTTCTCGTTGCATAGAAAAAAAAAAGAAAAAGCAAAAACAAAACAAAAACAAAATAAACAACATAATTTTAAAACTTAAAATTTCTGTTACCATGGTAACTTACATGGCAAAGGTAGCCAAACAGTTCTAGTTGATGCTCCAGGAACAAATACTCATCATCATCTTTATCTCTCTGAAATAACAATTTATATCATATCAAGGTCAAAGGTCAAATGTATAGACCTAAAACTGAATTATCTGAAATTACAAAATCTTAATTTCCTATATACAAAATTAATGTCATTAACATAAATTTCATGCTGTTCTTCTGCATACAAAAGAAAATGAAGTTAGTAAATAAGAACTATTTGCCAATGACTTTTATCCTAATGTAAGAACATTTGTTTAGTTTCAAAGTAACATTTTGTTTGGATTCTGTAACATTTTGTTGGGGTTCAATGTAACATTTTGTTTGGGTTCAATGTAACATTTTGTTTGGGTTCAATGTAACATTTTGTTTAGGTTCAATGCAACATTTTGTTCATGGGTTCAATGTAGCATTTTGTTTAGGTTCAATGTAACATTTTGTTTAGGTTCAATGTAACATTTTGTTTAAGTTCAATGTAACATTTTGTTTAGGTTCAATGTAACATTTTGTTTAGGTTCAATGTAACATTTTGTTTAGGTTCAATGTAACATTTTGTTTGGATTCAATGTAACATTTTGTTTGGGTTCAATGTAACATTTTGTTTGGGTTCAATGTAACATTTTGTTTGGGTTCAATGTAACATTTTGTCTAGGTTCAATGCAACATTTTGTTCATGGGTTCAATGTAACATTTTGTTTAGGTTCAATGTAACATTTTGTTTAGGTTCAATGTAACATTTTGTTCGGGTTCAATGTAACATTTTGTTTAGGTTCAATGTAACATTTTGTTTGGGTTCAATGTAACATTTTGTTTCGGTTCAATGTAACATTTTGTTTAGGTTCAATGTAACATTTTGTTTGGATTCAATGTAACATTTTGTTTAGTTTCAATGTAACATTTTGTTTGGATTCAATGTAACATTTTGTTTGGGTTCAATGTAACATTTTGTTTAGGTTCAATGTAACATTTTGTTTGGGTTCAATGTAACATTTTAATTGGGTTTAATTTAACAGTTTGTTTAGGTTCAATGTAACATTTTGTTTGGGTTTAATGTTACTTTATTATAGGTTCTCAACACTTGAATTTTTTATTTGGGTTCAATTTTGTTCAGTAGGTTCAATGTAATACTGAGTTGTTTAGGTTCAAAATTTAACAATGAGTTTAAGTTCAATGTAGCATTTTGTCTGTGTTCAATGTTATTTTTGTGAGAAGAGATGGGGGTTTTCAATGTTGTTGTTTTTTATTTAGGTTCAATGTAACATTTTATTTAGATTCAATGTAACATTTCATTTAGGTTCAATGTAACATTTCGTTTAGGTTCAATGTAACATTTTGTTTGGTTTCAATGTTAAATTTTTCAGACTTTGACATATATATTTGTCTAAAGAAGATTCTAATGAGCAAGATTTGTTATATAATGTATGCACAATTAATTTAAACATATTAACTGGTGACCAAAGCATCTATCTAAGTGATCTGTGATCCACCAATGTGCATCAAAAAAAATCATAGAGCTTAGTCAGAATGACAGATATAGCATAACCAGCAGCTTTTTTGGCAAGATCATATAGTAAGTTATTAAATATAAAATAATTATTGTATATGAACAATCAACAAATGAGCCGCGTCATGACAAAACCAACATAGTGTGTTTGCGACAAGCATGGATCAAGACCAGCCTGCGTATCCGCGCAGTCTGATCAGGATCCATGCTGTTCTTTATCAGTTTCTCTACTTGTTATAGGGTTTGTAAGCAAACAGCATGGATCCTGATCAGACTGCGCAGATGCGCAGGCTGGTCTGGATCCATGCTGGTGGCTAACCCATTATGTTGGTTTTGTCATGACTCGGCTCAAATAGGGACGTAACTTATACAGTTTTTAATAAAAATCAGTTTGGATAACATTAAATGTTGTTAGAATTGCTTATATAAAATCTTTACTGTACTTAGTCAATAATTTTGGACTATATTATTATACTTGTTTTGAAAAGCCTTTAACATAAAAACTCTTAATATTGTATTAATAATAATATTTGCATTATGAATATGAGAAGAAAACCTACTGCCATGATACATGAAATACTTGAAGAAGTCCTGAAAATTGTTTCATGATGTACAGAAAAAAAACACTAGCAATGAAATAAAAACATCAAACACTGTAAAGTCAAAAAACACAGAACTACTGTATTACGCTATATAAATGCCCCAGCTTGTTTGCCTTTCACTATAGCAGGCAATTATACTAACTGTTCTTCTGTCTATTTAAAGAACTGATAAGTTCATAAGAATAAATATAGATAAAACAATATAATTGTTTCATTTACCTTGCAGTTTTTAACATTCACCATGATGTGAACTTATTGTAAAATGGACATGTCCTAATTTTAATTTTGAACTGCACTCATTAGAATGCTACCAAACTTCAGCTTCAAAATAGTGCAATCTGAACAGCAGACAGTAACATAAAGAATCAGATCAGGTAACAAACATGTGCAGGTAAAACTGAATATGCCCTGGTGGTAAATGAAGGGCATTTAACTGCAGAAAGTATTCAAACAGTAACCTCCCATGTATTCAGACAGCAAAGATGCACAGGTAAAACTGAATATGCCCTGGTGGAAAGGAACAGCATTTAACTGCAGAAAGTATTCAAACAATAACCTCCCCTGTATTCAGACAGCAAAGATGCACAGGTAAAACTGAATATACCCTGGTGGTTAATAAAGGGCATTTAACTGCAGCTAGTATTCAAAGAGTAACCTCCCCTGTATTCAGACAGCAAAGATGTGCAGGTAAAACTGTATATGCCCTGGTGGTAAATGAAGGGCATTTAACTGCAGCTAGTATTCAAAGAGTAACCTCCCATGTATTCAGACAGCAAAGATGCGCAGGTAAAACTGAATATGCCCTGGTTGTAAATGAAGGGCATATAACTGCAGCTAGTATTCAAAGAGTAACCTCCCATGTACTCAGACAGCAAAGCTGCACAGGTAAAACTGAATATGCACTGGTGGTATAGGCAGGGCATTACCGTGTATTTAAAGATTTATCTCCCCTATTTTCATCAAATATCAATAAATTCAATTCATTTACTCTTTCTTCTAACAGCTGTCTTCTAACAGCGGCCTTCTGTTACTGAGTATGATATAAGATGAGTTTTATTTTATTATAAATAATAATAATTAAATCTACCGATATCAAGAGATTATCATTTTTCTATAAAATGTACAAGATTAAATTCAAGTATAAGGGCATTTATAAGAGTAATAAGGTAATATAATAAATTATATAAGCAAAAAAAGGTAACTTCAAATATTGAAAAAAGATAGAAATTTCACACAACATGCTAATAATATATGAATGTTTATCAAGACGTCTTTTTTGAAAGCTTCTTAATACAAATGTAAATAATAATCTAAATATTAACTATATTTATATGTAACTATATTTGTATGTGTGTATATGTGTCTTTTTAACCTGAATAAATATCTATTTTGCTATCTATAGAGACTTTTACCTAAACTAAAGCTTAGTGAAATTACATTATTCTTTTAAAGCACTAATGTTGTAAACTTACCTACCGGAAAATAATTTTAAAGATGAAATTGTTTGTAAGCATGAAGATACTCTATATGAGCCCCTTCAAGACAAAACCAAAATAATGTGTTTGCGACCAGCATGAATCCAGATCAGCCTGCACATCCATGTAGTCTGATCAGAATCCATGCTGTTCGCTTACCAACCCTTTTGGAAGTAGAGAAACTGAATGCACAGGCTGGTCTGGATCCATGCTGGTCACAAACGCACTTACAATGTTGGTTTTGACTTGACGTCAGCTCATATTATACTAATAAGATATAAACAAAGTCAGCAGGATGTTGTCAAGGAAACAATTATATTTTTCTTAGACTGAATCATATATTATAAAAGACAGAATGATCTATTCCTCATTTAGCTCATTATGATATAGTTTTAATACACATAGGAAAATAAAGCATAGAGAAAAAAACATAGCAGTATGGTATTTTGTAAGAATAATATTTAAATAACAGCAGTATATAATCATAAGAACAGAAAGCAAAACTCTTTTATAAGCATATAAAATACACCAGCACCATTATAGCTTTGTATATAGCAATGCTATATAATAATAATAATATAATAATATTTTCTCTGCATACAATTGTTAGGTAAACATGATAAACATAAAACTTACATCCTCGAGATGTCTCTAAAAATCAAAAGTAATAAAACTCTTCGATTAAAGTAAAATTATACGTTATGATTTTTGAATGTAAAGCCAAATGGAGGCTTATCAGCATTAGTGATGGAGGATTCCGGTATAAGGGGGCCTCTGTGAAGATATATTAACACTCTAATACACTAGATTTTTGTTATCGGAAGGTCACTTTATTAAATTTATTATCATTACTAACAGGTTAATATTCATTTAATAGATGTGTGAAATATATCTGCGCCTTACTATAATATTATGTCTACTGCAATGACTAGTTAGTGATCTATACTACTTCATTGGAAGCTGAAAACTCTGAGACATTATTCAAATTTTAGATTTAAATACAAAAGCTCGCTTAATTAAAAAGCATTAGCTTAAATAGGATGCCGATGCAATAAAATAGGATGTCAAAATTTGACAAAAAATATATGTGTATAACTAAAAAGGGCAATGTGAAAGAATAACAATTTGCAACTACGTTAAATTAAAATAACAAAACAAAATCATGTGATACAATAAAAATTTACAACAAATTTTGAAATATATAATTTGGTTTAGTTACAAAACAATAAATAAAGACCAGTCCACAAAGAGCCTTCTTTCTATTGGTTGATTTCAAGTTTGGTTTTACAGCAATATCCAATCAGATTCTTATTCAACAAGACTGATCCACATTTTCTGTTTTATAGCTTTGACTGGTTCTACTCTAAAATTACAACATTTTACATTATAAAGCAAAGAATACAGGGGGAACCAGGCTGCCTATTACTTACATTTGAGAATGTGAACAAGTCTACGTAAGATTTTCCATTGTTTGTAGATACATACACCTTTCCATCATCTAACCCAATCTTCTGGCCAAGATCTGTGAAAAACACACAATTCTGAAAAAGAAGAAATATTCCAAAATCAGCGATAGACAAAAGAAGAGATTTAAAGAGTTTGAAGAATTTCAATCATTGTAAAACTTTTAACCAAATTTTTTCAAGCATCAGATATTCTATAGTATCATCTAAAATATCTGATTTGAATCATTTGATGCTATTGTCTTTTTCCAATTATCTTTCAAAATGCACCATCTGTCCATTGAATTTACTTATGTATTGTTTAATGCATTTGAAATATTTCTTAGCAGATGCCGTTTAAAACAAACATTTATAAGTTTTTGTTACAAAAACTGGAAAAACAATTTTGTGTGCGTGTCTGTGACCAAAATGTCTCAAAGCACATTTTCAAGCCCATAATGCATTGTTCTTAATTCAAGCACAATCCAGTAGACGCAAAGAGCTCTCACTTCAGACAGCAGTTTTTCTAAACTTAGACAGTTAACTGTTAAAACTTGAATATGAGCCGCGTCATGAGAAAACCAACTTAGTACGTTTGCGACCAGCATGGATCAAGACCAGCCTTTGATATGGATCCATGCTGTTCACTTACTAAGTCTATAACAAGTAGAGAAACTGATGGCTAACAGCATGGATCCTGATCAGACTGCACGAATGCGCAGGCTGGTCTGAATCCATGCTGGTCGCAAACGCATTAGGTTGGTTTTGTCATGATGCGGCTCATATATATTTACCATTCCGCGCATAAGCCAAACTTCCGTGATATATTTCTGGTTGTCAGCAATGGACACACCATCACACACACATAACACACTTAGTAAGTCTAGGTAGTGATAGTTCTTATCACGTCGTAAAAGATCCACAAATTTGTCAATGTGATCGTGAGTTATTCTGTCCACGATTTTTCTGTTGTCACGAATCAGCTCCATAACCATGTGTGCAGCATTCAAACCAATATGTCCCTGTAAAAAAGTGAAGATTTACAAATGAAACAACAGAAAAATCAATGATATATACATGTTTGTGAAAACAGTTTTTCCGTGTTCATATAGGTAAATTGATCTTAAATATTTCTTTTTATACACTGTGACAAATGTCATTAAGAAAAATTGTTTAAAACATTGCTGCAGAAAGTTGGAGCCTTCCGCTAAAAGTGGGGGTGTTCACATGTATGCTTACAATGAAATCAAAGAGCATTACAACATTGTATATTCAGCATATAAAATCTATGAAATGCATAACTTTGTATTATATTATATAGTTGTTTTTAGTTGAACAATTCTAGTTATTTATTCATTATATTGTGTTTTATGATGTTTCACATTGTTTACTGATTGTATATCAAAATACATCAGAATATAAGAGCTGTTGAGTGAACTATATATACAGTTGACTCTCGGTTAAACTCGAAATCCAAGGGACTAGGTATTTTACTTCGAGAGAAACGGAATTCGAGTAACTTGGAACTACCGCCATTATGTTGACTTCGTACATGTATATACATGTACCTGATTGAATGTGCAAAGAAGTAGGTTTCTTATTGTTGTTAGCGGCAATGCTGCAATATTTAACCATTGAAATGACGGTAAATCACTTTCAACTACAAATTATAAATGAACATAAATATATCATTCAAAATTTTATACATGTATATTAATAGTGAAACATAAACACACAATTATATTTGATTTAATTGATCATCGAACCAACTATCGTGAACCGGAAGTACAAATTAATGTATGCAATATGACGGAACATTAATTATACAAATATCATTTACGTTGATAATACACATCAATACCTAGGCTGTTATTTGACTAACACCCGTCAGACTGGCACGAGTAAACTTTTTTAAAGAAATGTAATTAAATTTTAATTTAGTTATCTAACTGTTAAAACCAATTAAGTCGTGAAACGGATTAAAGACACTTTTACGCCGTGTTAATAAAACATGATGACCGGCAATTAAAAATTACTATGAAACGTGTAAATCACGAGTGACAACATCTCACCTTGATGTCGCCGGCCTTTGATTTCACACTTCGACTAATTGAGATGAAAATATGTGGACTTTAATTGACGGGACCAAATTTTCTTTTCGACTAAACAGGAGTCTCGGTAAGTCAAAATTTGACCTAAGCGGAGTTAAAATACAAAGATAAAAAGGGAAATTTGACGGGACTTTAGAAATTATTTGACTAAGGCGGAATTTTGAGTAAAGCGATTTTGACTTATTGAGAGTCAACTGTACATTTTTTTTTGACAAATCAAAATCTTACCTCTTTAATTTCAAACTGTGTGAGGAAGAAATCTATGTATTTTGCTATATATAACTCATTTTTTCTGGAGTTCCCCATCAGATATGTGTACAATACATCATATGCTACACTGAATATTCTCGTCATGTGACTGGAAAAAGCGCAATAAACATATATAAACTGTCAAATATCAACCTTTTTTTAAATATGTAATTCATTTGGCTCAATAGTTTAATTTATAAGAAAATTTATAAGGTTAAAAAAAATGTGCAAATAGGTCTGAAAATGCCATAATTTTATGAAGAAAGTGTATGGCTGAATTAATTATTGAATTGCTGCAACTGGAAATGTTTACTACCAGTATAGAGCCAGGCCAGCTCGCACATTGTCACAGAGTCTCATCATGTGCTATACTGATGCCAAGCTTAATTCTTGTATTTTGATATTGAAATTCTAAACTTTGAATGGACTGTTCCAGTTTCAAGGCAGGACAAATACATTGCATAAAAAAAGCAAGTTCAGGATTAAGATGGTGCTTTTCTCAATTCAGGCAATCAACTATCACTAGGCTAAATCTGAATAATGGACCAGCCCTGCTTGGACTTTGCAACAGTCCAGTATTATTGTAAGGTATTCTAGTGTAAAAGTAATTGAACAACAAACCGAGCAGAGCAGATCAGAATGAACTATGATTTACTGGCTGCCCTAGCTAAACTTTTACCATCGGTAAGTTAAATTATGACTGCTACATCTGATAAGGTTCAAACTGTGTAAGGCATCAAAAAACATATCATAGGGTTAAAGGTTCAAGGAACATTGATATAATATTTATCCATGATACACATGGAATTATGTTTGTTGTTATATATGTAATATTAGTTTTGACATGGAAATAATCACTTACTACTGATCTGCGCCATTGAACGGACATTTGAGCAGGTTTACAAGAAGTTCTACTATTCTCAGATTTCTCATCAGCTTTTGTCTTTGTTTGATTGGTTCCCCATCTACTACCATAAATGAACAGATCTCTTTCAAAGCCTGGAACCAAAAATACATTAACACATACAGAAATAAGTGATAACTATTATAAAATCCTTTTTTTCATTACTATTTAAAATTCTAAAAGAGTAATCTCTGTTTTAGTTATAATCAACACGAAAATAACGGTTATATGGACACAGCATTTGTGACAATTGTGTTTTTTTTATATATATAACAGCTTTGTGAAAGATCATCTAAATATTTCTTTGAAAACAAAAAAATAAAATATTAATCAAGAAAAGAATTTGTATGAAAAATTTAATATATATGGTGAAAAAAGGCCAATGATTGAAGACAGTATAAGATTATTTCAACAATCTTGGTAGATTTGCTGTTCGGCCAAAATATAATTTCCAACATGTTATTTCACAATTAACTTGAACTTTTTTGAGAAAACATTTTCAAATATAGTTGTTGCCCCTAACATTTAATTTCTGAGTGATAAAGATTTATAAACTTATTTATACTGTTTTTAATACATGTACAATATATAGCATTACTTACAGTGGAGACGTTATAGGACATCTTTGCATTCAGTACCACTCCAGCTTTTTTCTGAAACAAGGAGACATTGATTGATTTCAATAAATGAGCCGTGCCATGACGAAACCATCGTAATGTGTTTGCGATCAGCATGGATCCAGACCAGGATCCATGCTGTTAGCTTACAAACCTTGTAACAAGTAAAGAAACTGATAGCGAACAGCATGGATCCTGATCAGACTGCGCGGATGCATGCTGGTCACCAACTTACCATGTTGGTTTTGTCATGGCATGGCTCATTAATATACATATTGTATATGTTGCTTTAACAGTTGACAGAGAAATATTCACCTTATGATTTGACATGACACTGAAAAAGACATGGACACTTACAATATTAATTGTAATACTTGAAATTTTCAATAACAAGTGTCTGAACTATTGCCAAATATAATTTCATATAATTACAATGTATTCTGAGTATTGAACCTTTACTTATTCAATATCCTCTTAGACTAAATAAAAGCTCCTAATGCTAAACCACCATGTAACTCTCATCTATTCCCCACAAAAGATGTAGTAAAAAATGCATTTCAGTGATTATTTAATGCCCAACTAAACAGAGACGCTCCCTGTTAATAAAAGGTAAAAGAACCAGTAAAATACATACATCTGAAACAAGTTTCTGTATAAAGGGAACCATTCCAGCCATTGTGTTAAAGATTTCCTCCAATGGTTGATCCACTGACTGTAGAGTGAAGGCATCATCATACTGTTTCTCCTCTATAACACCAATCTGTATAAATTACAATGAGATAAATTACAACCTAATCACTGCTGAAATGTTATTAGATATTAATGGAACTGCTGAAATGTTATTAGATATTAATGGAACTGCTGAAATGTTATTAGATATTAATGGAACTGCTGAAATGTTATTAGATATTAGTAGACCATGTTTTAAGGTATTTTATTTCTGTCTTATATAAATAAATGTTTCAGCATCATTCATTCACATTGTTTTTCACATACAAAAAAAACCCAAACATTTACCACACCATTATACTATAATGTTAACATCTCATAATTCTTTATAGTTTAAGAAATTTCTTCTTTGAAAACTATTTAAAAAATCTGTATAATAATTGAATATTTCTCAAGCCCTTGAAAAAGAGGTGTTTTTAAAAGATTGTAACAAAAATCTAAAATGTTTAATATTGTCTCAGTCATATTGATCATTAGCAAGTTCTTGTACATGATTGTATAAATAAGAAATGTCATCCAAATAAATGATGTGTGTATTTCATTTGCACTCTTTTTCTGGAATAAATAAACCAGTTTTTACATTCCATATCATGTATTTACACTCCTTTTTTTCCTTTCTTTAAATTTTCAAAATGTTCACTTCACTCTTTCAAATTACATCAACACATAATACATGTCCTATGATCAAAACTTTTACTCTTTTATTTCAATCTTTTGCTCAGTTTTCAATTGTTTAAAACTCATTTGTTTTCATTTCATAACAACAAAAAAGGACTTTTTATTTGAAATGTCAACTACAGAAATTGTTTTAACATTTTTCTGTGTAATTTTTATTTCATAATACAGTCAAACTTGTATTAAGCGACCATATATGACAAACACCAAAAATGGTTGCTCAATATAACCGATCATGAGAAAAAAAGTCAATATTATTTAATTCATCATATATTTCCTTTTGGACAAAAGGAGTGTTTCAACTTTATTTATATACATGTATTATAATCATACCTCTCTGATAATATAAATAGTTACTAAAATAAAAAAATATTGTTTCTGGGCATAAGTGTTGATGGTTTCTGTTATGCATTTGTTATTCACCTCTCTCTGTTTGGAAATTTAAGTTTTTCACATATGTATGGTTGCTGAAGTCGCTTAATACACATTGTTGCTTGGGACTATATCATAAAACATAAAATATTATTTATACTTTAAGCTTGAGCTAAAACATTCCATACCATGTTTTTCATGCTCTTCATAGAAACACAGCATTTTTAAAGAAGTATTGAAAGATCTAGATATTAAATCAAAACTTAGAAAAAGTATTATAAGATTCATATCAAAATAAATTATAGGAACTACAAATAATAAAATGAAATAATGCTATTAAATAAGTCTTACAAATAATTTTAGTTTCAACAAAATTGGCACTCCGAAAACATAGGAATCATAGTAAATATATTAATTAACAGTAAATTAATGTTTTTAATAAAGGTACAGGTATATAATTTACAGTCAAAGGGGTATTTCAGTGTTTTAAATCATTCATTTGTTCTAAATGATTGCATTTTCTAAAATGAATCATAACATACATGTATTAATCTCTTTTTTATGCATGTCGAAGTCCCCTGTATAGGGTTTCACTATAATTGGGAGATAGATAGACTAATAACTAACAATCAGCCTGGTAAATTTAGACAAATTCAATAATTTTGTAAATGGATATGATACTTATTAACACTCTAAGCCTGTTTATAAAGAGAGGGTTAATTTTGCCATAAAGTTTAATAAGATAATAATGTGAGGATTGTTCTTGTACTGTATTTGTTTAAAAATGAAACTAATAAAGACCAAAAATAAATTTCAAATAAATGTTTGAAAGAATTCTGAGGGTTTTTTGACTGCACAATCAGAAGAAAGTTTTTTCTCTCCAAATTATTTCATCAGAACACGAATGCACTAAAATGTCATATACTTGTAATACAGGGGACAGAATGCTACTTCAGAAAGCTAATAAACACCAAAAATAATTTTTAAAAATAAGTTTGAAAGATTTCAGAAGGTTTTTTGACTGTAAAATCAGAAAGTTTTTTTCTCTCCAATATTTCGTTGGAACACGAATGCACTAAAAAATCATATACTTGTAATACAGGGGACAGAACTCTACTTCAGAAATCACGCAGAGTTAAGCAACTTACACTCAGTTTTTCATACTTCTACATCAGACAGCATTTATATTAAAAAATATACAATTATATATACAAATAACATTCATTAAAATTTCATATAATATTGGAAAAAAAATAATATGAGCCGCGTCACGACAAAACCAACATATAAATGGGTTTGCGACCAGCATGGATTCATACCAGCCTGCACATCAGTGCAGTCTGATCAGGATCTATGCTGTTCGCTAACAGTTTCTCTACTTGTTATAGTGTTTGTAAGCAAACAGCATGGATCCTGATCAGACTGCGCGAATGCGCAGGCTGGTCTGGATCCATGCTGGTTGCAAACGCACTATGTTGGCTTTGTCGTGACGCGGCTCAATAATGATTAGAAAATCACACATGATGTATTATAAAACACAAAAACTAAAGGATTCTATCATCTACAAAAACATGTATTTTACAAAAAAATGAAACAAGAGGGCCAAAATGGCCAAAAATTGCTCACCTGTATTGTACTGTTTTTTGTATTGTTTTTAATACAATGTCAATTGCATAATTTGTTGTAGGAAATAGCAAAATACAAACATGTTTTGGTCAAATCAAAATTACTTAAAATATAAATGAATATTTTATAATGGTTTGGACAGCAGTTGATCACAACTACCCATCATGAGCAAAATTATGCTCAGGTGAGCTAAATATAAATTGAAAAAAATGCCTGATAAAATCTATCTACTACATAGTAAAACATGCAATATCTTTTCAAAATAGAAAAGAAAAAAAGTTATGACTGTAAGTGGTGGGACACAATGATCACTTTATCGGCAGTAATTGGTCAGTAAACATCACTTTAGTGATGATCAGTAGATATAATTTATTTTGCAATCAATATATATCGCATGAATCTTGTTATGATTATACATTTTCACAATGGATAAATTGAGGAATCACTGTAACAGGTCCTGCAAGCCTATATCAATTCAATATGTAACACATTTTGTGATTTAAACAAGCACTTCCTATCACTGTACATCTTGGAGCCTAAATATTTTTACCTGTACCTTTCTTATATAAACAGGAAGTAGATCCACTTATTAAAATGATTCCACCACTAACTGTATATGTATATCCTTTCTTATCACATGACATAAGTTGTTTTCAATGTATTATAATACTGCACGTTTGTAACGTGGCTTTTCATTGGATAATCGTGACGTTTATATAGTTTTATATACACGGCTACTGTCGATTCATGAAGAAATCTTACCTTTTCTCTAAAAAAATGATGCGTCCTGTATTATAAATTCGTTATAAAGATTGTTGACAGGATATATGGCCGTATATAAACTGTTTGCAATATAACCCTCGCAACAGCTCTGGTTATATTTAAAAACAGCCGTTTATATAGGGCCATGTAACCTGTCAACAATCTTTATAACTAATAATATATATAATGTTTATACATTTATAATGTATACCTTTATATGATCCATGTTTAATATAAAAATGTTGAGATCAGTTCTTATCTATCTAACCCTATATAAAGACAATGGCTGAAGTTATTTCGAAGATGGTGATTTTTGCTTATTTCCATTTTCTGGCATTGATAATATTGGCATGTGATAAGAAAATCGTAAATTTGTTATCATTCTTTAATATATTGATAACAATAAAGACATCCAAGATTTTTTTATAAATCTAGTCACAGGCTGGCTTAATACAACACTTTCTTAAACTCTGATTATTATAAAACTAGAATATAAAATTACTGTTCATGCAAGATCCTTTTATTATATTTTCTGGTAAATGATAATACTGAAGGTGTTGAAATAGCTGATGAAAATGTTTATGCATAAAGTAATAAAGGGGCTTCATTCTATGAAAATGAAATTCAGATTCATCCGCAATTTTTAACAGCTTAACAGAACCTGCCAATTCAAATAAACATTTAGAAAATGCAACATTCTGCAGTCATCAAAAGTGCCAACTTTTGGTTACATTCATTACCATAATTTACTTATCTCATGTAGACAAAAAAACATTGATATAAATATAAGAAAATACGAAACAACCTTATTAGTTTGTTACATTTTCTGGACCGATGTTTACAAAAATTTACAGGGAAATTGGATTTATGTTATTTATGATCTTTTTAACAATTTTCTACCAAGTCATTAAAAGAAAATGTAGTTAAAGTGGCACTTTTAATGAAAATATATATTATCATAAAAGTAGTAAAAAAACAATGTAGAAAAAAAACTTGTTTGGTTATATTGTTTGTCAACTTACTACAAGTTTACCACCACTTTGTTTCAATTCCTTTTATGCAGCAATTTAATATATAGAAATTGAGTAAGAAAATACTACAAGGGACAAAACTGCAGTAGGGAAATTTTTCAGTTAAACTGCAGTTACCTCCCCTCATTGTATGCACTTCTTCCCATAATGATGTCACTTATCACTTTAAAATATTTCATTTGTAACCCTATCTTCAAGTTATTAGGATATAACTTTGTAAAGATTTAAATAGAATGAAATCAGTATAAATAAATTAAAACTAAAATGTTTGTCCGATAATTATTCCATAAAGAAATAAATATAACATGGATAAGTTTACATAAACAAAATTAATATTATGTTACTGAAAAATAAAACATATATTTTCTATATTTATTACCTTACTTCTATTACATGTAAAACATAACACATTATAACCTTGAAGGAAAATATCACTCTGGATCCTGAATTATACTGTAGTCCAACTCTTCATAAATAAGACTTATTTGCTTTAAGGCCAAAATCTGACTGACCCATTAGAGTATTCAGTGTGAAGTTACATGATCTGAATGACCACTTGCTCAAAGACCACTTGTTACATTGAAACACTTTTCTCCAAACTGGTTTTATTGTAATGTTTAAATAAATATATTACACTGTCACATACTTACTTCGTAAAATTATATTGAATTTATAAATCTTTCATTAACTATTAAAAAAAAACTTTTTTTTTTTCTTATGCATTAAGAATTTGTTTTCTTTGGACATTATAATAAAAATAATCGACCAATTAAGATCGATAAGATCGTCCTGAGGGACCATCATGATTGGTTTTATACCTTTCTAAGTTGAGCAGTTGTCCATTTTAATGAGCCCATTGATTTACTGTCTGTCTTCCCTTCTTCTTGTTTCTTGTTCTTGTACTCATCTGTCATAAAAAAAGTTCAATTATTTACACACAGGATACTTTGATAGCAATCCGCAAAAAAAAATAATTTCTGTTATCAAACCAATACCAGCTATGTAATACCATTACAATAAAATAATGTACCAGTAATGTATTCAGGATTCGTACTTTAGCACCTAGTTATAGCAGAACCAAACTGCACACCTATACAGAGACTGTCCGAAATCTATACTGTATCTTAATTTTGTAATATTTCAACATTTGAATTTTTGGTTGATAATATAACGCAATGTGTGTCGAACCATCTGTTTGCATGAATTGCCAGTTTTCTAGATAAAAACATTGAATGATTCAGCCAAAACTGCACCACTGAACAAATTTATGATAATAAGGGTTAAATTTGTTGAATTAAGAGCACATTGTAGACACCTTAGTAGATTGAGGTTGTGCAGTACTGTTAAAATAAGATATTTCAATATTTCACCTACCTGTAGATGCATGCAACCATTGTCCCGACACAACATGTTCCATTCTACAATAACTGTCCTCCGGTATATCATCACTTTCCTGTAAATATTACATCATATCTATTAATAGAATGTCTTTTACTAAATTAATTATGCAATGACTCTCCACCTGGCTGCATGTTCCATATTGTTAAAGCTTAAAAGTGGCTTCAAAATGACTAAGGATGATTTAATTTTTTTTTTTCATTTTTCAACTTATGAGCTTTAAGATTTAATACTAAAAATCTCTGAGATGGGTTTCATTTGTAAAATGTTTTCTAATTGGATGACTGTGTTTCAAACTGATTAGTGCCACTTTTTGCCTGTCCACCTTGCAACACGTCAATAAAACCTTTTTTTCCTCTGTGTCAAAAAAAAACTAAGCAATAAATGAATATACTGTATAACCTAAACAAATATTAGAGAGTTACTTACTCTAATCACAGGATGAAGTCTGAATACTGTTTTAGGGTCAAGGTGATCTGAGGTCAAGGTCACTTTTCCACCTTGAGCCACACACAGGTATTTCCGAGTACACATATGCATCAGCCTACACTGTTGTTCCCATTTTAAGACACCACCTTCAAAGAATTTCAAAGTAGTCAAATACTAACATCATGTTTAATGGCCAATACTTGAGGAAGTTACAATTATAACGTAGAAGCAAACTTAAAACTTATTTTCATGTTAAACATAACAAAAATTTATCCAATAAAATGGGAACTTTCAATTTCATCCTTTTCAGCAACTTAAAATGTTGCAGGCTTATTTTGATAGAGCCTATTTATAATAATAATAATAATAATAATTATAATAATAATAATAATAATAATAATAATAAAGGCTTTATTTAACGAGGCTACATATTAACATATTCGCCAAAACGATCTTCCATATGTATTTAATTGGATAACATTTGTAAATGCAAGCTAACTTCTTCCTACCAGATTCACAGAATAAATTTTTCAAAAAAAAAAATACTAAGAGGATATTTTTTCGTTTCAGTGAAATATGGAATATATTTTCACGAAACATGATAAAATGCCACATATTTTCACGAGCCGGGACGGCGAGTGAAAATATGTGGCATTTTATCATGTTGAGTGAAAATGCATACCATATTTCACGAAAAACGAAAAAATAACCTTTTTATTTAATTTCATTATCAAAGAAAAATGGTGACAAACACCCTTGCTTGCTACGCAACTGTACTTGTACAGTGCGCAGTAATAAGTATTGTCTTGTTTTGCATGCGATATTTAGCGCTACATTGTGACGTCACGTAAACTACTCTTTAAACGTCTGTACAGCGTTAATGACTGAATTAAAGATATTAGTGATCAGATTTATTTTCTTAGTTAGACCATTTTCTATCATTCTAGATAGTTTTCACAACAAAATTCAACAAAAAATTGTTTTGTATTTATCAGATTTTTCGAACAAAATGGCGAAAGAAGTCCCTTAAAATAAATATGAGTTTTGACTCCGCCCACTTTCATATTTATATTTCATATTTATTTTTAAAAAATATGAAATATATTTGACTGATATAGCACCATATTTCATGGGTAAAATTAAATAAAAGAAGAAATTTATAAACATGTGTCTATCACTGGTAACTATGGTTACCTGCTACACAGCCCTGCTGAAGTTCAATCTGCCAGTAGGTGACAGCAGAACTGCTGGGAAATAATGTCTTTGGGTTGGCTTGATCCACGGGTCGCATCCGCAAATGTACTGAAAATAAAATATTCAATATCAATATTGAAGAAAACATTTTCACGAATGAGAACAATATTTTTGTTACCTTTTTTTTCACAGCAGATTTTCTAATTCAATGGAAACAGTCTAAAGGCTTGTTAAAATACTTCAATATGCTTAAAGTTTAGCAGTCAACCAGACTGACTATATATGTATTATAATGAACCTGGACCCTTGCAACTAGTTTAGACCAAGATCAGATGTGCCAACCCATCATAGTCTTCACTGTTTCCTATACACTCAGTACATAATTCTATAATTTTCACTTAAATGATTTTGACCAGATTGAAAGATTGACAGGTTCATTTAACATATTTAGGTGGCTGAAAGTTTAATGTACTTTTTTAATCTATCTATAAGGGCAAGTCTATTTTACAACTATGAAGGGGTAAATGTTTATAAAGAATGGTATATACCATCTTCTGTGAGCTCATCATCAAACAATCCCTCGGCCACCAGATATGCTTCCATCTCCTTATGGTAGAACCGAACAATGTCCCCAACCTGAAGATATGAGAAAAATGTGTCAAATATGTTAAACTTAATGTCTTCAGTAAAACGATGTTTTTCACAAGAAGAATATTTTACTAGACTGATTCAGTAATTTAAAAATAAATGCCGTGAAAATTTGGGCGTCATGAAAATCTCTCCATTTTTTTCGAATTTTGAAGCTTGCCAAAAAGAAATTTATTCCTACTTTTATTAGTTTTATAGATTATAAAATCTTTATTCTGAGATCTGAGTATAAGCATAGGAAAATTATTTATAACCTTGAATCGTGGACTTGAGAAGCGTTTTTAAATAGTTCTTTATCCATTTTAGGGATATCATAGAGATATTCGTCAGTTAATAGTTTAGAATTCACAGCAGTCAGTCACAAAGGTTTCTTTTCAGATTTGTCATTGATTCTATCTTTTATATAGTGTATCAGGAAGTTAAACAAGGATTTAAACAGACATATATATGGAATAAAGAGCTTGTGTCAATACAGTATTTTATTATAAAGGTATTCAAAAAAGATATTCAATATTGTAATACAATAAACTGAAAAAACCTAAACAGTTATTGATCTATATTTTGAATGGAAACACTAGTCTAAGTTTAAGATTTGGTAAGGTAATAAATTGTATATCAACCCAATTAATAAAGGTTTAAATACATATCTTTTGAACAAAATCAATATACTACAGACAAACAAGTGTGCTATAACCTTGAAAGTACATTTTTTCTTTACATTTAATATACTGTATTGTATTTTTTTTCTTTTTTCATGTGATATTTTATTTGTACAAAATAATAAGAATGATTTAATGTTTGCTTCAAAATACACTTTATTCAAGCAATAAATCATTTTGAAAGGATAAACTTACTGATATTTTGAAAATAGCAGAATTTTGAATATGATTGATATAATTATGTATCATTAAAACTGTTATGTATATTATGTAAGTTAGGGGGAGTATGCATTTCCTAGCTATTCCCCTATCCTTTAGAGTTAGGGTTCCATGGTGTCATGGGAGAGGAATTAAGCCTTGTTGTAAACCATGTAAGATACCATGACATTATAGTTAAGTTGAGCTGAGCTTTACTGACTATATATTTCAAAAGATTGACTGTTATAATGGTGATTCACCAACAGTTGATATTGGAAAATGTTTACAATAAAATAAATGTCTGCCACTGCCCCATGACTCTTTTTATAAACTGTAATGTGAACATGAGTTTCTCAATGGATATTATTATCAGAATAATTTCCCTTTGGCCACATGCAGCTATGTTATAGGGTTCATGTGTATTCAGAAAGATAATGTAAAATATATATTAAAAGGGAAATTAAATGCAAAAAATGTAAAGAACTTAAAAGTTTTTCTATCTGTGCTGCAGTGATATGTTATAACGTCACTAACCTTGACTTTTTTCTCATCATCTGGGGACGGTTTATATTTCCGGTAGATTGTGAAACCGGATTGCTGAACTGACAAGTTTAATTCATAGCTGAAAATAGAAAAATTTAGCACTGTAAAATAACTTTCATATACATATAACTATTTGTCACAAGCTTTTAGCTAGTCCTTACCCAGATGGAACAAAAAGTGACTAGCCTTAACTGACAGGTGGAGCCCTTACTCTGATGAAACCCATACATACCATAACGCCCCGGACGTCTGGGAAAGTCCTGGAAATAAGGTGTCTGTCCCGGAGTTGTCCCGGAGATGATTTATGTCCCGGTAAAAAAAGCAGCAGCCAGTCTTTGCCACAGGTTAAGCTCTTACTATGCAAGAATCATATAAAGTGACTATAGCCTATGCCACCAATATTGCACCAGGCTAGCCTACACTACTGTGTACTGTGGACTTACTTGCTCTTGATCTCTCAAAAATTGATGATATACATAGCTGGACAATTACCTCCATTTAACAAATATAAGCGATTCCTTTAGTCAGGAGTATTTTCTTTCCGAAATTGCTTAATCTACTCAAACCAAGACAAGTTCATAGGCTGATGCCCATTTTGCCATAACTATTATGGGTTTCAAGAAATTTTATGTAAAAAATTATTCTTTAATGGGTTAAAAATCATACAGCTATTAGGTGGATGAATGCATTCCTTGTTAAAGACAACCACAAGATTTTTATTATCAGTGCTGATGTGATTAATATTTCAACAAAACATATTATTTTTCAGAAGGTGAACACAATTTGATGTTGTGCTTTGTCATAAGGCATTTTAAATCTGTAAAATATCACTTGTTACATTAAATGCCACTGTAACTACTTATTGCGACATTTGGAATTCCTCTATTTTTGAACTTTGATATCAGTGATTTAATATATAAAAAAAAATATCTATGAAAGTAGAACAACTGTAATCTTACATGGACCAAATTTTCTTATCAAATAAACCCTATACACTTGTCATTAATATACCTGGTATACTTGTGTTTCACTGCAATTCACTATACACTTGTCAAAATTAAATGTTTTCTATATCAGCAATGAAATGCAGAAGATCTTAAATAATAATATGCAGGCCATTTTTAACTTAATTTCAATTCCTTAAAGAAATTTATTTTTTTAATCATGTTTAATCAAAGTTTTTGACAATGTTTTTGTTTGTAATTTATAGGAGCTCTAACTATATATTTAGTGATTTCTAAACTTCCTCATTTATTACCCTTTCCTTCTCTTTTTGTACTCTCTAGTATGTTATTCATAATCCTTAAGAATTATTATTGCCTTTTCAAATTTGGTGTGATGTTTGGCACATTTCACAATGACAGTCATATAATATCAAAGTGCCTTAAATCACACTTACTCTACAAATGTTTTAATAGGCAAGAAAGAATAAATATTTTTTTTATTAAAAAAACAAAAAAACAAAAAACAAAAAAAACATGTTTATAAATATCATATATAATACAAATAAGAAATTTCAAAACATATTTAGCATACTTATATAGATATTTAACATGTTTTATACACCTAAGTATGAGATAATTGTTAGACAAATATTCATAATCCTAGTTATACAAGCTTGTCAATCTTTATATGTCAAAACAACTTAATTGGCCCCTTTCCTCAGATATTTAGCAGCAACTGTTTCTATAGATACCCATGCACACCCTAAATATATAAATGGTTTTGACCAAAATGAAGGATGGAAGAGTTTCAGCTAGTTATGGGTTAACAATATTATTACATTTCACAATACAAAAAAAAATATAAGTAAAAATTATTAGGGTATTGCGGAAAATGGCATAAGACTACATTATTAATTGTTTGTTAAACTACTTCAGATTTGATTTATAGGCCAGAGACCAAGTTTATTTGAAGAGACACTCTACAGATAAAAGGAGGAACATGCAAATAATATAAAAATGTTGATGTGTAAACATACTTTCAACAAAACTGTCGGATATTATACAATTACTTGAAAAGGGCATAACCTTTGATTTATTTCACTGCTTTTAAGAAATGTAGCATTTAATAACAATCATTATTGAATTTATTGTATGTGAAATAACTTCAAAAAAGGTCCACAATATTGAGTGTGCGAATTTAGAAGTAAGTCTGCAAACCAACTGCCAGTAGAATTATTGTTGGACCAATAAATTTTTTAAGACACTAGCTTTTAAATAAGGCCTATAAAACATTAGCAGCTAGTCACCTTATTTTCTGAAAATGAAATAACTTCAAATTTCAAAATTTAATGGAACAACTCATTATTCCACAAACTATATGACCTTGCTTTCCACTGAAAAGTTTATTTTGGGCTTCTCAACCTTGTTAGGGCTAGCAAATATTGTCAATGACTAGCTTGAATGGCTTGTGTTTTTCTGGCCCTAAATTCTTTAATTTCTTTTAACTGTAACTCCTTAGGCAATAGCTCGATAATGAAAAGCTTATAACAATAAATGGTAGAAATACAGAGTTCCATGATGTGATCTGAGTCTCTACTGTCCAAGTTAAGCCATCTGTATACTGAAACTTCTTAAAATAACAATAAACAGTTCTAAATACAAAGCAGGGCATGTTAATTGAAAAAAGATAATCTTTGCAAAAGTCCAGGAGTTTGAATTATGTCAGTTGGGTGGAATGCTATCATGAGAGAAGGTACTTAGTCTTCCTGTATAACAGGCCATTACATATTTTTTTGACACTGGAGCGCTATAATACCATAAAATTTACCTGAGTTTTAAAAGTAACAGATTGGATTCAATTGATAATATATTTTTTGAGGCCATATACTAGGATAATACTTAAAGATATTTAGATGTAGCAGAAACATTTTTAAAAACTGTTACATGATCGAAAATATGCGCCGCATTCTACGGTCCCGTTCTCGAGTTCCTGTGTGTTTGGGAAGGGCAATTTACATCACTTAGATGAAATTAAAGACTTTTTTTCTTCTTTTCTTTTTTAGGGGGGTATTTTTAAGGACGTTTCAATTTATCATTATTCAAGGCTAATACTACAGCCACGTGTAACATTATAATACACTTGCATGTATTAGATCTATAAAATCACCAAACCATTTGAATGTAAGCCATATTGCATGTTTATTGTCTTGTGATTAAAATGCACGCAATTCTCTTTAATCCTTTTGTTAAAAAATGTACAATTAATCACGATTGACATACAATGAATATGGGTTATTATATGCAAATACATTTGTTTTGTTTTTTGACACATTCTTGTTATGATTTTTTTTTAAAAAAAAACACCGAAATTCTGCCAATAATCAAACCCATTTAACAATGACTTGACAGAATATAGCACGAAAAATCAGATATCCACTGGATCATCACACAAGATTCCATCATGCAAACACGGTGACCTCAATCTGTACTGCGTCAATTATCACCCCCTCTACCTTCTCCCACTATCTAACCCCCCAAAAAAATATTCAAAAAAACATTCAAGTTAAAACATATTGCTTGATTTAAGTGTCATGTGAAATATTTTTTCAACTTTTATATAAATCACTTTTAAAGTCTGATTCCTGGAATAACCACTACAGCTGTCTTATTTAGTAATTTATACTAGGTATGTGGTTATCTGAAAGTTTCAAGCTCTTCACATTTCATGGGATGAGTCAGGTAAGAAGATTATTTCAGATTTTGATTTTTACAGGGACAGTCAACGGATTTCCAGGACAGTCCCGGATGTCCGGGACACATCCGGAACATTTTGGCATGTATTGCCCTAACCTTTAAAGAAGAAGCAAGCAAAAACATAAAAAAGTTGTTCATATAATAAATAAGCCAGAATAATCTACCAAATAATACCTTGTTGCATTATTATTATTTTTCAGAGAATGACATTTATTTTTACTCTCAAAACAGTCTTTGAGTGGGCACTTGTAAAATTATTGGTGACTGTACAAAAAGTTATTGTAACAATCGCCTGTTATCTCAAATGTGTATACATAATGTACACAAAACAGTGTAGTAATGTAAACTTTGAGATTGAAGGAAGTAAATGGTGTAAACTATCTCATGTTTCCTAGTCTGCTTTATAAGAGGTTTAGTTAGTGAGGCCGAAATATTGGCGAATTTCGTGAATTGACGAAAACCACTCAATTTCCTTTCGCATAAATATCAACCAACCTGTCATTAAATGAACCCTGCCATGACAAAATCAACATACAGCGTTTGCGACCAGCATGAATCCAGACCAGCCTTCGCATCCGCGTAGTCTGATCAGGATCCATGCTGTTCGCTATCAGTTTCTCTACTTGTAATAGGGTTTGTAGGCGAACAGCATGGATCCTGATCAGACTGGTCGCAAACACACTATGTTGGTTTTCTCGTGGTATGGCTCAAATTATACTCTTCACAATTTTGCTAAATGTAAAATGTCTGGTATTTTAAATTTGCTAACTTTTCAACACACAGTAATGTCCACTCATACAGTAATAAACAATTATAAATAAAAAAGATAGGTAATCAATGCACTTCAATCTCACATCAGAAGGAAAATAGAATTTTTTTTAAAGTCGGAAGAAACATTATTTTGTAATTACTGTTTCTTATAGATTGCTAACTGAACAAAACAAAACAAACAAACAAAAACAATCAATAACAACAAATGCTCAAACTTAAAAAATATTGGATCATTTCAAAGTATTTCTTTATACATTTGTCCCATATATAAAAGTCACAATTACAAAAGATATTGGTGACATGTCTGCAGAGTGCTGTCTTGACTTGTTCTACCAATTTTATTTTATTTGTAAATGATTTTATATAAATCTAAATAATACTGCAGTCAATTACCCCCAGCCTATCCCCTTAAGTTTAATGCATCATTGACCTTTCTGATACTTGTAGGGTAAGTTCTATGTTATAATGTGTACCATAAAAACTAAAAACTAAGAAGCTTTCTAGTGTTTGTGTCTGTGTTTATTTAACAATCTCTTCAAGGGTTTGATTTTATTCAGAACATTACAGCCAACTTTGTGACTACAAGTAAGAATCAAGTCAGTCTGCACTTACATGTGTGGTCTGACAAGTCTAAACACTGTTTGCAGTTAAATTAACCATAGACTTGCATTTAAATGCTGGGACAATCTTTCACAAATTTAGCATGGGAAAATATATTTAGCTGGTATGATACAGTTTTTGATGCAGTTTTATGTGTATCACTGTAAAGTAAAAGTGCTTCAAACACACGGTGCTTTTTTTGTGTTCAACCACTTACTTGCCGTCTGTTGATGTATCTGATTCCCTAGAAACATTAGGTAACAGAAAAATGTGAAGTTCACTAAATGATATGATACAGCAATATGACCTATGTCAACATTACTGATACAACAATATGAACATTACTGATACAACAATATGAACATTACTGATAAACCAATATGAACATTACTGATACAACAATATGAACATTACTGGTACAACAAAATAAACATTACTGATTCAACAATAAGAAAATTACTGATTCAACAATATCAACATTACTGATACAACAATATGAATATTACTGATACAACAATATCAACATTACTGATACAACAATATCAACATTACTGATAAACCAATATGAACATGACTGATACAACAATATGAACATTACTGGTACAACAATATGAACATTACTGATACAACAATATGAAAATTACTGATACAACAATATGAACATTACTGATACAACAATATGAACATTACTGATACAACAATATGAACATTACTGATACAACAATATTAACATTACTGATAAACCAATATGAACATTACTGGTACAACAATATGAACATTACTGATATACCAATATGAACATTACTGGTACAACAATATGAACATTACTGATAAACCAATATGAACATTACTGGTACAACAATATGAACATTACTGTTACAACAATATGAACATTACTGGTACAACAATATGAACATTACTGGTACAACAATAAGAAAATTACTGATACAACAATATGAACATGGTTGGTACAGCAATATGAACATTACTGATACAGCAATATGAACATGGTTGGTACAGCAATATGAACATTACTGATACAGCAATATGAACATTACTGGTACAAGAATATGAATATTACTGGTACAGCAATATGAATATTACTGATTAAGCAATATGAATATTATTGATACAACAAAATGAACATTACCGATACAACAATATGAACATTACTGATACAACAAAATGAACATTACTGATACAACAATGTGAATATTACTGATACAACAATATGAATATTACTGATAAAGCAATATGAACATTAATGATAAAATAATGTGAACATCACTTATAAAGCAATATGGACATTATTGTTTACAACAATTTGAATATTAACCCATTACTGCATGAGCATTTTGTGAACATTACTGATAAAGCAATACTGTTACAGTAATATGAACATTTAATTTACAAAATGATATGATAAAGCAATATGAACAATATAGATAAAGAAGTATAAAGATTACTGATAAAGCAATGTGAACATTACTGATAAACCAATGTAAACAATACTGATAAACCAATATAAACAATACTGATAAACCAATATGAACAATACTGATAAACCATTATGAACATTACTGATAAACCAATATGAACATTACTGATAAAGTAATGAGAAAATTACTGGTAAGGCATTATAATGACACCAAACTTTAATGAACTGAATGAACTGATAATAAACAATGTTATCTAATATCAACAATGCTGAATAATATGAATTAATTAACTCACCTTTTTTGATACACTGACTGTCCACCAAGCAATGTTTTTGATACATGTAGATACTGTCCTGAAGATTTTACACTCTCAAACACAATCTGGTCATCAACTTGTACCTAACAATACAACAAAGTTTATATTTCAGATGCCAATTAGTACAATAGTCTTGGTTAATTATCAGTTTGTTTTCTTTTTTTGTTGCTTTTTGTCAATAATTTTGCAAAAAGTGAAAAGAAGGATTCAGTTAAAATGCCAAGAAGTGAAAATAAATTTCCAATTAGTTGCATCATGTTTTAAAATAAATAATATAATTCTCAATTAAGAATGATGGTGCAACAAAATCTTTTTCCAACATTATCAGCACTGGTGGAAACCTTCCCAAAAAGATGTGCAACAGTGATGCATTGATAAATATTTATAAGGCTTATATCTAAGCCCAAGACATATTAACTAGTTTGCCTATTCATTGTGTAATTTGCTACCTGCTACCGATTCTTGTCTCCAGGTTGCCATTTGACTATAAAGTTTGCTTATATTGAATTATTTTCCAGGATAATTTGGTCTGGTGTATTTTGGATAGGGAATCAGAAATAGGGGCAGTATTTTAGTTTACTGTCTGTACTATAAAAAAAAACAGCCATGAACATACCACATCACCCTCTGCCTTGACCTTGTATCTCGGCATGACCTTAAACTGGGCATGTTTTGCATCAAACTCCTGCAACTCAACCTGTAAATATAACATAAAGTCTGTTTAAACAAAGAAAGAAAATTTAATATAAATTAGAATAATAATTATGTTCAAAAATATCCTCTGTGAATAAGAAATCTATAAAGGAAAGGATTTGCTGGTAAAAACATGTCAATGTATGACAAACTTCAGTATTATATGATTATTTGAGCTGCGTCACGACAAAACCAACATAGTGCATTTGCGACCAGCATGGATCCAGACCACGCTGTGCATCCATGCTGTTTGCTATCAGTTTCTCTACTTGTAATAGAGTTGGTAAGCGAACAGCATGGATCCTGATCAGACTGCGCAGATGCTGGTCACAAACGCACTATGTTGGTTTTGTCGTGACGCGGCTCATTTATTGGTGACATCATGAAGTAACCCATGCAAAAGATTCATCCAGAGATTATCACTTAAAAAGTCTTGTAAAAGATATGTCTTTTTTGTCATTTTGTCATTTTGCCATAATTATATGCTATGCATTGTCTCTGGTTAACATTTTCTTCAACCACCCTCAGTACGATATGATATTTATAGCAAAAATATTTATCTGTATTTTGACGTTCTTGACCTAAAAAAAACTTATTTAAGTGTTTAAACCTGTAAAAATGTAATATTGTAACTTAACCTTGTTAAAAATGGAACTGTCCCATTGTAACTTTACAACACTCAATATCCCATTTATTGATTTTCTATAGAACAGCTATTTATCTTTAATAAACATATCTAAAACCTTTGTAATATACGCATTCATTATTCAATGAAAGCTTCCGACATGAAGAGATTTTGAACTGAATTGCTGGAAAAGGGCATTCAGGGAATTCAAAAGCTATATATTGTGTGTCAGAAAATGTAAAGTTATATGAACAAAAGGGTTATTGGAAATACCAAGTAATTTTACCCATATATAAAGTAGCTGTTCCAGTATTTAACCTAAAGTAAATAAAGTCAATAGATCGACTGGAAAAATCAATGTCTTGGAAAAAACCAGCAATAGAATATTAGTACATAAGTTTTGTATCTCGCTCTTAAATAATTGCAGGGTCATTACTGTTTTCCGTTTTTTAATGTCTTTTGTTATTGATTGAGACTTATCTATCATTGATTTTGAATCATGAGCTTCCATACAGACACAATTGCAGATTATTCTCAATGCTTGGTACTTTGATAATTAAACAAACCCCACCAGCAGGAAGTGTTTATGTTCAAAATAGAGAAAAATTCAATAAAAAAACAATAAACTACAGTTATAGCCCTTGGTCAGAGTGATGTCATATAATTATGAGCTATGAAGCTTAGAGGATTCAAGACATGCCATGGTAATTAATATACTCAAATTAACACCACAATAATAGAGATAATCGGGGTTACTTTTACCATTATAAATTTATTTGTTGCCCAGTTTTGTTATGGTGTTGCCCAGTTTTAAATTTTTTGCCTTTGCTCTCAATTGGAGGAACATTATAGTCAGTTATGCTTGCTCTTGCTCATGTCTCAAATAGCCAATTCGCTTCATTCATATTGAGACTGCATTGAATGTTTTCAATATTTAACAGTGCTTGCGAAATTTGCTTTGTTTTGGATTTGTTGATATGGAAAGTATGCAATATCGACAGCTTTTTCACCGGATAATCTCTATTAAGCTGTTTATTAATCCATTCAATGTAATATTTTTAATCTCCTACCTGTGAAAGTATCATATAATAGAAGGGTTCAAAAATTTAAACTAAAAAAGTTACTTTAACCATTTTCCCTCTACAAACTTCAATACAATGTTAACCAGTGCCCTTTAAGCTCATAATTAAAAGCGCAAAGTAAGGAGTCATATTTTCACATCTTAAGCACAACTGACATTTATGAAAATATTCATATGATATATGAGAAGTTGTCAGTTACTTGTAGAAAAAATATTAAATCTGGTGCTGAGTCCAGAAAAAATTGCCTGACTCCAAAAATCAATACCTGCTAATTATGTCACAGTAGACCTATTACTTATTTATCAAAGGAAATGCATTCTTAGCGATTGTGGCAATTAACAATTCCCTATCTGGGATTTTATATACCAGTAGACACATTGGGCCAATAGAAAATGGTAAGACTTGAGTTAGTATTTATTGAGGCTTGTTATTTCATTTCTTTATTTTTGAATAACTTTACATGTAAGTAAAGTGATACCTTCAGATATGGGAGAATATCCTTGATAAGTCACATTTATTAGTTGAACCAGCAACTATACAGTACATTGGTTACATACATGTGAACTTTTTTCAATGTTCTAGAGGGAGAATTTAATTCAAAAAGAGGGAGATTTTTAATTGACAATAGACATAGAAGGAAATTTTGAAATGAAAAAGAGGGAGATTTCTTATTCTTTTTAAAACACCCCTTATTTTAAGAAAAATACTTTAAATTTGACAGGAGAAAGAGGGAGTCTCCCGCTTAAATAGGGAGAGTTCACATGTTTGTGGTTAAAGCACATATAGTGATATAGTTGGACCACTACTGGTTACAGCATTGGTAATGGATTTGTCCTTCATTGAATTTACTTGGAATATATAGTCTAATAAAAGTTTAATTACCCTTTCAAAAATAGAAGTTTCCCTGGATACCTTTATCAATTACCACATGGAAGTGCCTCCAGAACCCGTTTATCTTATATTATCATATGAAAGCCTCTGGATACCTCTAAATTTTATTTCAAAATTCATATATTTTCAAAATGTCAACATTCTTAGGAATATGCATCACCATTTACTGATGACACAATTTAACATAAGTACATGACTTTGTAGATACTAGAGACATATGTGATAATTAATTGTTTCATTAGTAACATACATGTTAAAACAATGACCCCCCTACTTCATGAATGTTTAACTGTATCAACATATTCTCAAGAGCTGGAAGCACAAGAGGAAAATGTGTGGCATCTAAACAGCAATAAAAATAATCAAAGGGCTGCAAGCTCTGTGGTATTTTCTGATCTTTGCAATCTAAATCGTACTGTATATCTGTATGTATTTTCCTGTATAAGTTTATTTTATGTACTATAATTCATCTTGCAAAGCACCAGAGTTTGATACATACGGAATTTTGCATAACTACAGTAGAGTTGGATCAAAAAATCATTTATGTTCATTTTTTATGACAGCCACACTTTATCATTGCATATCATGGCTGCTTCCTTTACAAGACACTTAAAAAAGAATTTTAAAAAAGTTGCCTCGACTTGGATTTGAACTCCAGACCTCTCACACACTAGACGAGCGCGTTACCCCTGCACCACGGAGAAGTTATATAAACATTGTCTGAATAAAATCTAGTCATTCTAAATTTAGAACTTCCATTGCATTCCAGGTTTGTAATCCTTATTAATTTCGAGGTATTTGGTTCAGGATAAACCTGTTGTTTAAAATTGAAGTAAATAATTTAGCGAAAATCTTCTCGCCCAAACAGTCCGACATGTAGAATCTATATATTCCACTACTCGGCAGTCAGATTTATTTGTGTAGTATTCGGTAATCGACATCGCTAAAAATAGCATTTTCATTGATTAAAATCAAATTCATCCGCGTAATTGTGATTGTGCATTTATTGACAATTCTATAAGACAACGCTACTTTTAAACTTTGAATGCGTTGTAATTTGTTGGATACTTGTAACAAAATAAAAATATTTCTTTCTTTTAAATCGCTAGTTTTAAGCTGTTTTGGGAACTACTTGTTGTTAGGTTTGTCGGGAAATTCTGTGTCAGAGATTGAATGCCAGCTATGTATTTACTGACCTTCGGTCAGAAAATACAAAAATGAGGACTTGGTTAACTTCAGTACAATTAACAGGGTTATGATGATGATGATGATGATGATGATCTAGCACTCCCTAGTACAGACTGAAACAGGCTGTCAATCTGAGATATTGAAAGACTGAATAATAAAGCAAGCTCTCTCATTGCTCCAAAAAAGAACTTTGTGTTTAAATGGTCATGTTCATCAATAATTCCTAACTACATCAGTTTGCTTTTAAATCTCTTTGTAAAAGGTCTGACTTACAATTCTTTGATTATGTTTGTAATGTTAATAAATTATTCAAAACATCTTTGGTCCATAATATTTAATTTCAAAAACGTGATACTTTCGAATACTAAATAATTTAAAATGGATTGTACTTTAATGGTTATATGATAACTGTTTTCTCCAAAATACAAAACAAAAATCTAGAAAAATGATTGATTTACCTGTCATTACTCAACAGTTTTCAAGAAATTTATGACTTTTTTTTTTCAAAGTAAAATTGTGTACTGGATTTTAAATAACCAGATTGTGATATGCACAATTCTTTTTTTGCTTCCACTAGCATTCAGGTGCCCTGTTATAACAACGTGCACTATAAATATTAACTTTGCTGCCCTGAAATATCATTACCCAGAAAAACTAACATTATACCCCACCCAGTCACATTATACTTGAATTATGCTTGAACCAGTCCAGGAAATGCCTGGTTCTCAATGGAGGACTCTTCAAGAACCATATTCTTTTAATATTACTACATGTGTAGTTATGTTATTTTATGAAGTGGATTATAATTATAATTCTGATAATAATGTTGCCAGCATAAATCAGTAACATTTAAGAATGCCTGTATGTTTATAATGATGACACATTTTTATATTATATTTTGTTGGTATTTTGTATCATAATTATTAACTAAAACTGATTCTGAAAATGTATACATTTCCTTTATAGATCATTAATTTTGGCTCGTAACATTTTCTGTCCCTGCCATTTTAATCAGACCTCGTATTAATTTCCTTTTGGTAATCCACCGTTCATTACTCCTTTGCAAAGCTATATTTCTATTTCGGCCATAATGTCAGTTAAGAGATTTTTTGAAACAGTATAAACAGTCCATTTAAATGATACAGTGGACATCAGAGTGATTTCAGCTGTCATGGCACTCTCAAAAAATGACTTAAGGAACCTGTGATTAGAAAGAACAATCATTTTGACTTGTGTTTTATTATAAGCTGAAGACATAATTTTCTTAAAGTTGTTTTTGATACTTTATTTAAGTGATATCAAAATACCCATCCAAGGGTATAAGTGATTGAATAGGTCAAAGTCAAAATTAGTTTACATTTTGCCATAATTCCTTTCAATTCTATAATTTTCTTCGCAATTAAAACTTAACAATAAATAGCTCATGTAGCCAAGGAAATTTTTGTAAATATGCTGTACAGTAGGTAGTCTTTTTATATTTTAGGTAAATTTATATTTTATCCTAAACATTTTCCAATATCAATTACCATTAATTATAATAGTAAATCATTTGAAATGATTATAAGGTAAATAGAAAGAGCATTAAAACACCAGGCAATCTGATTTGTACAAGATTGCCGAGTATTTTGATGTTCTTGTCATTTATATCATAGGCAATAATAAAAACATGTTCTCTGATGTCACAAAATGAAACCCCAGTAAAAAAGTAACCAATGAATGAGCATCTGAATTTATTATTTAGGCAGTGATGATTGGTTTTCCTCATAATTATGATCAGTTAAACAATGTGGGTCAACCATAATGTTATCTTAAACTTCTCTCTATTTTTAATGCAAAAAAATTCATTTTGAAGTCTTAGAACAAATTTTACATCCATATTAACTTTACTGGCTTATTATATATATATTTAAATATGATATAAAAATGTATTATTGACATTACTTTTTTTATTTTATGGAATGTTTTAAGCTTCACTGAGTACAGAATAAATCCTTTTTACAAAATTTAATGTCAATTATTAGTTGTGAAATCATATTGATAATTTTAGACATTTAAATGTGCTCTAATGGGACTGTCAATATTTTGTTTACAGAGATTAAAAGTCCTTGTCTTTCATTTGATGACAGAAGTGCATTCTGAAATCTGATGATTTAGGTGTAAACAGTTCAGTCTTCAAAAGGAATAAATGTATTTTAGGAAGTTAGATGTAAATATCTAAAGGTTTTGGGCAGTTACAGTATCTTCAATATTTTGGCAATTAGGTTAAGACACCGTAAATAAGTGATGATATCATTTCCATTAGATATTCAACCAAAATGTTTTATATCTGATATTGTGTTAAACTCATTTACTGTTGATTCCGTCATCCAAAATATCTCTCCCGTTTGAGAAGACTTCATACTGTCAGCTTTGAAAATGCTGAACCTTTAGGGAGAGATTTTAATTAATTTCAAAGTAAGAAAAATATATTAAGCATTGTCATCAGGGAAAGACTCAGAACTATTCTAACACCCTTCACACCATAATGCCCCTTATCAAACAGATCAAGAGCATTATTACAAAAATATATGCAAAGAATAAAAAAAGAATGCTAACAGGTCTTTTGATGTCAGATATGACGTTAAGAAAATTGCTTCCACGTTCATTGTAGTTCAAAAAGTATGTTTATCAATTCTCTTTTTTGATAGCATGTTAGAATGGAAATACATCATAATTTTTCTTGCATTATAGCATAATAATGCACGGTTTATCATTCAAATGCTTTGTAATTTATCACTCAGGCCTGTTGGTCTTCGTGAATATATTCCTATGCATTTGAACTCAAACCATGGTTTATTCTAGACAAACGCATTCAAAATTAATATCTGTTTCCTAAATATGAAATAACTTACAGCCATGTTGTTGCTCTCTGTTGGCGAGGTTGTTGTGGTGCTGACATGAATGTACTTGAGCGTAAACTTGTGTTTGAGCTGAAATATAAACATTATATAATATATTTTACTATCAAATACTTACTAATATTGGTAAGAAAGTATCTTTCCTTTCAATTTAGAATTTACAGAAAGAATATGAGAGTAAAACAAACTTTCTGTCTCTTGTTGTAAATTTAGACTGCATTTTACTAGGTATACAGTGATCTTCAAATTATATTATGTGATAACAAAGTATTAGTGACTAGGTATTCTGACTGTAATGCTTAATTTTCCCGCCAAAAAATCTAACATCGACCAATATCGTAGCAAATCAGTTATTTCCGGAACATTATTTTTCAAAATCTTGAGCACAATGGCTCATCCTTTATTGTTTTCTACTAAATTCCAGTTATAAATGGTTAAAAATTATTGAATACAAAAGATTGTGAAAACAGAATTCATATGAATTCCTTAACCAGGAAAGTTCACAAAGGTTTATAATAAAGTCAAAATAAATGCTTGAGTTACAGATCTTGGATATAATACTAGAATCACATCCCTAGGATATATTAATTTGTTAAGTTTCAAGAGAGAACTGTATATCTTCAGGGTTTGTGGAGGCAAAATTTAAAAAAAAAAGGTCACAAAGGGATATAATTCATACAAATTCCATGCTAGAGTTATTGGTCTTGGATAGTGACCTTCAGTTATGCACACAAACAGTCAGTTTCAAGTGAATATTCTGTTAACAAGATGATGAAGGCAATGATAAGTTGCTAAACTTTGAATAGTGGGGGAGTGAACATGTGAACCTGTGATAAACAGTCTGATAGTGTATACAATGGGCCACACACCGGCAGGATATATTTCAATACCCTTTATTTACAACATGTTGTCTGGGCTTTCATTTTCTTTTACAGAACTCAATAAACTTTTGGGTAAAATATTCCACTATAGTAAATATATGGCTTTAGCTTATCTTTTGTCAAAATAATGAAATGTCTCAGTTGGTCTCAGGTCAAAAACACTACACGACTTTTATATCAGCTCATAATCTCAAACAATAGAATACAGTTATTTAATAGGACTAGACGAATATGACTAAAACAAGTATTTTATCATAGTGGTAATATAAGTATAGCCCAAAATTTAATCTGTATTTATCGCTGACTGCCAGAACTATTGGGATATTATTCAAATTTAATACATGCTGCCTTTAAGAAATGACCACTTGTTAAAATTTCAGTGTAAACAAATAAATTTGTTTTAACTTCATTGTGATGCAAGCATGAAGAGTTTTTAAACCACTCTGAATTTTTTTTTTGAGTCTTGTCTCAAATCTCAGGTTTGTCATTTGTCAGTGTACGCTCAGTGGGAGTTTCTGACCAATCAAATACATGAGATCTGTCAGTTGTAAACTTGGAGAATTTTCTTTATAACCTGTTGAACCCTGGAACTATAGCCAGAACTATCCTTAAGCTAATAACATTTTTCTAACCTCTCTCTGGAAACTCTGAGCCCTCAAGGTTATATATGTATATATATTTTTACTGGGTTCTGTCTCAAATCTCAGGATTTTCACTAGTCAATGTGTATGATATGACAGTTTCTGACCAACCAAATACTTGAAATCTTTGAGATAAGAAAGTTTCTTTATAACTGTTTAAATAACCTTGGGTTCAGATATAAAGTTATTAATGGTCTGATGACCTAAGAAGGGTTTGGACCCAATTAGGCAACTTGGTTAAGAGGAAGACACATTTAAGTGTTACAGACAACAAATCACTCAGTGCTTGAGGTAGTGTTTCCTAATTTTGACTTTTTTAGCAATTTCACTGTTTTGAAAAAAATACCCTGTCAACTTGTTCTGTATTATCTTTTTTTTTTTTTATTTATCAAAGACAGATTTTATAGAATAGCATGATAACTTTTCAATAGTATTATGATCATATGATTTATTTTATTTTCCTTTCTCCCCTTTGATATTTTCTACACTACTAAGTTTAAATGTACCAATACAGTATAATCCGGTAACGTTCTATATAATTTAATACTGTAATATTGTCACACCACTGTAAGTAGGGTTTGTAACCAAAACGAATGTAAATAGTGTATATGGCACCTAAAAAACTTAATAGCATAATCATAGACTTATACAAAAAGCAAGGTTAATACACTAACAATGTCAAAAACAGGTCACATTTTTCTTTTTTCAATTTACTTATTGGGTCAATAATGGAAGAAATCGCATATATCTAATGTATCTAATCAATGTGTATTTTTAACTATGATTAAAAGGGTCAATAAATTTTGCTTTGTTTAATCAAGATTAAAAAATTTGACTTTTTAGATTACGAAATGTATTAAAAATAAAATACATGTTTGGCAAAATAGACACAATGAAATAATCTCTTTGTCAATTTTACCTTTAAAAAGATAATCAAATATTATTCTTAAAATTTGCATTTAATAATTAATTTTCATTAATTAAATATTAATGAAATAATATTAATATACTGATAATTTATAATTTACTTGATTGTGAGACAAATCAGATGTGAGTCAGGACTTAAACTTGCTGAGTATGTTAAATGTAAATGCAGGGTTTTCATTTTTTATCTGAGGCAACAGACGTGCCAACAAAAACAACCGATTTGGCCAGGGGTCAAGGGGGATATTATAGTCTACAGGTTGAAAAAAATGCATTTAATTATATATCTACAAAACACCAGGGACTCATTCTTGGACTTATTTCAAGGTTTTAAGAAAGAAAGAAAAAACAGACCATTTATGGTGATTTGTGTAATTTTAATATCTTGATAACTATACCGGGATTCAGATTGGCCAGTGGTTTCTTGTGACACAGGTGTGACGCTATCAATAACTAAATGGTGACAGTAAATTATACCTGTATAATTTGGCCATAGAGAAGTTTTTTGCCTTGCTGTCTTTTTTGTTCCTGCTCATTGTCATCTGTCTCAGCTTTGGCAGCCAACTGAAAACAATTACAAAAATTAATATATAAGTTTACAACAAAATATTTCAGTAACATAGGAGTGTGGTAGATGCATTTCAGACATGATGTTTTTTTGAAGTTTATTTAATCAGACAAAAAAGACACCTGACGCAAAAGGTATTATTAACCTGAAGCAAAGTGGTCTTAGTAATCAGGTAAGTTATAAACCTGAAGCAAAGTGGTTTTAGTAATCAGTTAAGTTATAAAAATGAAGCAAAGTGGTCTTAGTAATCAGGTAAGTTATAAACCTGAAGCGAAGTGATCTAAGTAATCAGGTTGAATATAAACCTGAAACAAAATGGTCTTAATAATCAGGTAGGTCATAAACCTGAAGCAAAGTGGTCTTAGTAAACAGGTAGATTATAAACCTGAACCAAAGTGATCTTAGTAAGCATGTTAGTTATAAACCTGAAAGGAAGTGGTCATAGTAATCAGGTAGGTAATAAACATGAAACAAAGTGGTCTTAATAATCAGGTAGGTTATAAACATAAAACAAAGTTGTCTTAGTAATCAGGTAGGTTATAAACCTGGAAAAAAGTGGTCTTAGTAATAAGGTAGGTTATAAACTACTGAAACAAAGTGGTCTTAGTAATCATTTAGGTTATAAACCTGAAGTGCTTAATTATCCCTGGTGAAAAGTATTCACTGGAATTGACATATCTGGCTCTGTCTTCATGAAGGTGTAAAATTTAAAATAAAAATTCATGTCACAATTTATGGTTAAATGTGAAGTTACTTTACATATCAGTCATGGCCTTTAAACAAACTGAGTACTAAAGGTGAAAATCCTCAGACATATAATACTACTGCTTTTATTGCCCGGACCTGCCAACACTTTTTGTGCAGTTAATGTCCTTGCAGGCTTTATATTCTTTTGACTACTTTATTTTATATTACTACTTTAATATTTAAATTCCCTCACATTTACAATGAACCGTATGGAATGGGACGATATATAAACTAATTGAGGAAAAGGTTAAAATAATATATTATGATAAAGTTTTAGAAAAAGATCATATTAAATGCTTTTTAACAAATATGTTAAGATGAAGGATCATAATAATTTTCCCAACCTATATTAATCTTTATCAAACAATTTCAAAGCAAATAATTATTTGTTCTACAAACTACATGTACGAGTTTGGTAACACTTAAATTGTAGGAATTTAGTATTTCAACATAATATATTTTTTCAATAAAAAGTCAAGATCAAATTGATTTTGACTATAAAACAGAGGGCTCAACTATCTTCTAAATTCTTGACAGTAAGAAAAGGTGCATAATTCTGTTAAAAAGTAACTCTTGAGTTATCCCAGGGATTTGTGCCAATCATGTAAGATAATCACAGAGAACAAGTGTGTGAAGTTTTAACCCATTCCCTACAGTAGTTTTGGAGAGTGATCAGCTCTCCTTATTATTTGAATAATTAGGCTAAAAAAAGAAATTCACTGAATCACTTCAACTATAAGCTCAGTTTTTAGGAGCAATACGTTTTTGAAACAATAGAGTTTAAATGATAATTAGTTGCTAACTTCAATGTAATTAAAGACTTTTTCTGGAGTTTTCATATAGACATATAGGCAAAATTAAAACTACCGGTATTCAATAAAATTTCTTTTATCATATTCTAATAACATGCCAAGTTTAAAGAAATTCTATAGAACAGTTTCAATTTTGCCTATAATTATGTATATATGAAAACTCCCGAAAACATCCTTAATATATAATAAGGTAGGTTATTAAAGTAAGGGATTAATATCACATGATTGCAATATTCAACCTTACTGTAGGAGGTGAAAATTATATAACATTCAATTGTAAAGATATCTATTGATTTGCAAGTTGAAAAAATATATAAGTTTATGTTAATCATTGTGTTATATGCTTACAGCTATACTGCCAGTATATGCCTGATGAATCAATAAATCTTGAAATCTTCAAATCATTTTGCAATTAAAAAATCTGTCATTTAGCCATAGAAATTGTTAAATTTTTTTCTCTATGTTTACTTGGATGTAATAAGTTAATTAAAACTTTTTTGAGATGGTTCATTTTTGGCTTTATCACACAGAACAAAGATTGTTTTTGCATTGGCCCAAAATGCAGACAGTCGTTTTGGCCTACAGCCACCTCCTAATTAAACTAACCCTTAAGTTAATGGGATTAGAATTTTTTATTAATACAAAGTATTTTCAATTTGCCCTAGAACAAAGAGATGATAATAACCAGTGCTACCAATAAAGACAGACCAGTCTGCACATCTATACAGTTTGATGTAAGACTAAAGATGTAGTTTGATGCAAGACTAAAGATGTAGTTTGATGTAAGATTAAAGATGTAGTTTGATGTAAGATTAAAGATGTAGTTTGATGTAAGACTAAAGATGTAGTTTGATGTAAGACTAAAGATGTAGTTTGATGTAAGACTAAAGATGTAGTTTGATGTAAGACTAAAGATGTAGTTTGATGTAAGACTAAAGATGTAGTTTGATGTAAGACTAGAGATGTAGTTTGATGTAAGACTAGAGATGTAGTTTGATGTAAGACTAAAGATGTAGTTTGATGTAAGACTAAAGATGTAGTTTGATGTAAGACTAGAGATGTAGTTTGATGTAAGACTAGAGATGTAGTTTGATGTAAGACTAAAGATGTAGTTTGATGTAAGACAAAAGATGTAGTTTGATGTAAGACTAAAGATGTAGTTTGATGTGAGATTAAAGATGTAGTTTGATGTAAGACTAAAGATGTAGTTTGATGTAAGACTAGAGATGTAGTTTGATGTAAGATTAAAGATGTAGTTTGATGTAAGACTAAAGATGTAGTTTGATGTAAGACAAAAGATGTAGTTTGATGTAAGATTAAAGATGTAGTTTGATGTAAGACAAAAGATGTAGTTTGATGTGAGATTAAAGATGTAGTTTGATGTGAGATTAAAGATGTAGTTTGATGTAAGACTAAAGATGTAGTTTGATGTAAGACTAAAGATGTAGTTTGATGTAAGACTAAAGATGTAGTTTGATGTAAGACTAAAGATGTAGTTTGATGTAAGACTAAAGATGTAGTTTGATGTAAGACTAAAGATGTAGTTTGATATAAGACAAAAGATGTAGTTTGATGTGAGACTAAAGATGTAGTTTGATGTAAGACTAAAGATGTAGTTTGATGTGAGATTAAAGATGTAGTTTGATGTGAGACTAAAGATGTAGTTTGATGTGAGATTAAAGATGTAGTTTGATGTGAGACTAAAGATGTAGTTTGATGTAAGACTAAAGATGTAGTTTGATGTGAGATTAAAGATGTAGTTTGATGTAAGACTAAAGATGTAGTTTGATGTGAGACAAAAGATGTAGTTTGATGTAAGACTAAAGATGTAGTTTGATGTAAGACTAAAGATGTAGTTTGATGTAAGACAAAAGATGTAGTTTGATGTAAGACTAAAGCTGTAGTTTGATATAAGGCTAAAGATGTAGTTTGATGTAAGACTAAAGATGTAGTTTGATGTAAGACTAAAGATGTAGTTTGATGTAAGACTAAAGATGTAGTTTGATGTAAGACAAAAGATGTAGTTTGATGTAAGACTAAAGCTGTAGTTTGATATAAGGCTAAAGATGTAGTTTGATGTAAGACTAAAGCTGTAGTTTGATATAAGGCTAAAGATGTGCTGTATCAATGTCATTAGAAATAAGCAATGTCATATTGCATGGTTCCTTTTTGCTGTGAAAGATCCAGCTCATAATATTAATAAGCTCAGGGTACACTTGATATAATCACATACAGTTATTCTATTGTTGCAGTTTGCTAATAAGCAAATATATAGAGGATATTCAAAGTTTTCCTTTAAAAACAGGATTTATTTTCATTGAGAGGTATGAAAATAAACATTTCATGAGTGGCGGTACCTTAGTCTAAGTCCCGGCCAGCAGATAGCAGTTCACTGCACTGAGTGAATAAAAAAATATTTACTGTGAAAATACAGAAAATTAAAATAAGGATTTTATTTCATCAAAATTTCTCAATATTTCATTTCAAGTATATAATAAAGCAGCATACGAGAAAAATACAAACTTTTGTATATTTTTTAAGTGGAACAAAATTACATCATTTTTATATCTGAATTTGTAATGACTCCTTTCAGTTTTCTTATATAAAGTAATCAAAGATTGGCTTCCATGCTGTAAAAAAATATTTGCATATCATATAATTTTATATAGAATATATCACATTCCCTAATCTATATAATACATTATAATCTCCATGTTGTATTAATCTATGCATATCACATAATTTCATATAGAATTACACTTTTGAGTATCAGCATTGTTTTTATCTCATACATACAACTGACTCAGTCAACTTGAAAACCATTACAGTTTTTCTTTTCTTTACACTATTCAATTGTCTTAAAATAAACCACGCTAAAAATGGGTAGGGTTGGATAAAGGTCAGTGGTATATGATAAAAAAATATTTATCTGATACTAGTCTTGCTTAAAATATAAAGTACTGTAAGATATTGAATACCCTCCCCCCACACCCAAAGTAAGGACATAATTTTTTTTTTTCTTTTTTTTTTTTTTTTTGAGCATAGTTTAATCTCTTTATATGAGAAATTCAGTTTGATATACTATCACTGTCCACATGTTAAAGCGGCATACCTAATCAGATGAGTCAAAATATTTCAAGAAAATCGAACTTGAGAAAAGTGTACTAAGATTTAAAGAAATTAGTTAAAAGATTCAAGAGTAAAGTAATAATTTACATGTTATGATTGTGCGGTTTGATTTTGTATGTATTTAAAGAACATATTTCTACTGATTTACTAACGAGTATACCACAGTAAGGGGCTATTTTTACTTATTTTGACCTCCTTTTGGTAATTTGTGTGGATTATGCAAGTGCTGTTTGCAATGGAGAAGTGAATATTTACTGATGAATTATGGTATCTTGTATTTAATTCTAATTTGAAATATTTACAACCAAAGCTGGTGATTATGTTATTCAAAATAAAATGTATTTTAAATAGAAAAACATGATCAAAATATAACTATTTTTTCATGCTTTATTAGAAAATAATTGTGGTGAAAAATATTCATTTTTTTGTATCATAAAAGTGAAAAAAGAAGCTAAACTTTTGTTTATTTTAATGATTAAAGAAATTTCAAATGAAAAAAGAAAGTAAAGTTTTATTAATTGCAACAGTTTAAGAAAGTTATGAGACTACCTTAAAACTGCAAACTTATTTGAAATTTTGTTATTAATTTGTCAAAGTAGAAATTGTATTAATTAATTCATCAATATAGGACCTTGTTTTGAAAAATGTATACTTTAAAACAATCAAGACTTTTCAATTTTATTCATAAATTGGAAATTTTATTACCATGTTATTGAGTAAATACATTACACTTTACCATACATGATTTTGATTGGAAAAAGAGTCATTCTTTATCTATAAAACTAGAATCAATATTTCACAATCATATAAACTTTGCATATTTGCGTTGAGCAACTCAAACATTTTCAATATTATAATGTAGTCGAACATTTTAAGTAAATATGTAAATAAAGTATGACTATTTCAACAATGACCTTTTTACTATGGTAGGGAAATTTGTATAATGAAAAGGACTTGGTTCCTATTGGATTGTTTATAAACAGTACAAACATGAAAACCGGCAAGACCAAAGATCTGAAATATCATGTTTCCTATTATGTAATTTAAGACATGGTTGCAGGTAATAAATCATTAACGCACTTTGAAAATATAAATCTGTAAAAACGTAATAAAAGTTACAACAACAAAAATAGATATTTGATCAAAAAAATTTATAAACCTTGGTTATAGAAATAGTAAAACTAAAAGTACAAATGTCCAACATTACTTTCACATTAGCAATTATTAAAATATGGTACAACATAAACTTTAAAAAAGAATATACAGTTTTAAATTAACAACTACAAAGGCGCTAAATTAATGTTGAAGAACCAATGAAGAAAAAAGTATTAGACATCTGGTATGAAATTATGGCTTGATATTAAGAAATTTGAAAAGCATCATGTAAAGGACTGATTTTAGTATTCTTTTTTGTTTTGTTGGCACTTTTATTAGCTCACCTTGCACAAAGTGCAGGTGAGCTTTAGGATGGCCAACCAAATGGCGTCCGTCGTCTGTCGTCCGTCCACATTTTAAATATTCTAAGGACATCTTCTATGATACCGCAAGGCCAATGTTAATGAAACTTTGCAGGAATACTCTTTGTATGAAGCTCTATCAAGATTGTTCAAAGAATTCCATTTCATGCAGAACTCTGGTTGCCATGGCAACCGAAAGAAAAATCTTTAAATATCTTCTTTTAAAAAACCTTAGAAAGCTAGAGCTTAGATATTTGGCATGAAACATCTTCTAATGAGTGTCTACCAAAGTTTTTTAAATAAAAAGCCCTAGGGTCAAAATTTGGCCCCGCCCCAGGGGGTCATTGATTTTCCCTATATGCATATAGTAAAAACTTAAAAAATCTTCTTTTAAAGAACCCAAAGAGCTAGAGCTAAGATATTTGGCATGAAACATCTTCTAGTGAGTGTCTACCAAGTTTGTTCAAATAAAAGCCCTGGGTCAAAATTGGCCCCCGGCCCGGGGGGTCATTGATTTTCCCTATATGCATATAGTAAATACTTAAAAAATCTTCTTTTAAAGAACTGTAAAAGCTAGAGCTTAGATATTTGGCATGAAACATCTTCTAGTGAATGTCTACCAAGTTTGTTCAAATAAAAGCACTGGGGTCAAAATTTGCCCCGCCCCGGGGGTCATTGATTTTCCCTATATGCATATTAAGTAAAAACTTAAAAAATCTTCTTTTAAAGAACTCAAAGAGCTAGAGCTAAGATATTTAGCATGAAACATCTTCTAATGAGTGTCTACCAAGTTTGTTCAAATAAAAGCCCTGAGGTCAAAATTGGCCCTGCCCCAGGGGGTCATAGATTTTCCCTATATGCATGTTGTAAAAAGTTAAAAAATCTTCTTTTAAAGAAACCCAAAGAGCTAGAGCTAAGATATTTGACATGAAATATCTTCTAGTGAGTGTCTACCAAGTTTGTTCAAATAAAAGCCCTGGGGTCAAAATTGGCCCTCCCCGGGGGTCATTGATTTTCCCTATATGCATATAGTAAAAAACTTAAAAAATCTTCTTTAAAGAACCCAAAGAGCTAGAGCTTAGATATTTGGCATGAAACATCTTCTAGTGAATGTCTACCAAGTTTGTTCAAATAAAGCCCTGGGGTCAAAATTGGCTCCGTCCCAGGGGGTCATAGATTTTCCCTATATGCATATAGTAAAAACTTAAAAAATCTTCTTTTAAAGAACCCAAAAGAGCTAGAGCTAAGATATTTAGCATGAAACATCTTCTAATGAGTGTCTACCAAGTTTGTTCAAATAAAAGCCCTGGGGTCAAAACTGGCCCCGCCCCGGGGGTCATTGATTTTCCTTATATGTGTATAGCAAAAACTTAAAAATCTTCTTTGAAAAGACCCAAATAGCTTGAGTTTAGATATTATACATGAAACATCTTTAAGTAAATATCTACAAAGTTTGTTCAAATAAAAGCCCGGGGGTCAAAACTGGCCCTGCCCCAGGGGTGTCATTGTTTTTAACTATATGTGTATAGTAAAAACTTAAAAAATCTTCTTTCAAAAAACCCAATGAGCGAGAACTTAGATGTTTAGCATGAAACATCTTCTTATGGGTGTCTACCAAGTCTGTTCAAATAAAAGCCCTTGGGTCAAAATTGGCCCGGGGGGGGGGGGCTATATACAGGTGAGCGACCTCAGGGCCATCATGGCCCTCTTGTTATAAATAGTTCTATCTCAAATCTCAGGACATTCATTGGTCAGTGTACATTCTGTGATATAGCTTCTGACCAATGAAATGCCTTAACATCTTAGTTTCAGCTTAGTGGGTTTTTTTTGTAACCTAATGGCCCCTGTTTTCAAAAATAAGGAGTCCAAATACTGGTACTAATTGATCAACCCCTGTGGTACATGTATACCACATACATAATTTGAGAATAAAATCAATAAAGGGTTTATAAAGATTCTGTTTTAAGGCTGATCAAATATTTTGATTTTTGTAAGGTAATTAAAGAAAAGTTGTACAGAAACATAAAATTGGTTAAAATGGACGTAAAAAGGCAAATTTATAATCTAAACTTACCGTATACATGTATAGACCAGTTTAGAGAAGAACTAATCTATATACATACGATAAAATAATATTTATATTTTGCCAAAAGGTTACTTTTCTTAAAGTTTATCTATGTCTTTACTATATATTGTAGCTCTAATTCATTTTGTTTGGAAGAAAAAGTTAAGTAAAGTGCTGCATATTTTATTCGGCATTACATCTGTCATTATAGAAATTAGAAATGTTAACAGGAACAAAATGACTTGGAATGTCTATAGAATATTGATAAAAATTGAAATGCATAAATTGTGTTCTACATATTTAAAAAGGGTAAATTATACAAGTCAAACATGTGCCAGAAAGAAAAAATGTACTTAATTTTATATTAACATTACACATGATATCTTATTTTTAAATGGGTAGTGGATTTTCACATTAGAACACTACATGACCATAATCTGTTTATTTATTATCAGATTAGTGGATTACAATAAGAACTTCATTACAATATATCTGTTTAACAGACTAGAACATATGTCAATATTTGTTATTAAATGTATTGTTGTTATTCAAATAGGGATAAACAAGGATTATGATTTCCACATGACATAAAAGTATATTTTTATCTAAACATATGCAATTTGGAACTTTAGTACATTTGTATTTTTAATTCTTGCACAAAATGCGTGTATTTTGAGATTTTCAGATGAAAAAAGTTGGAAAATTTCAATGTTCACATGAAAATCATTATAAGAGAGAGTTTGGTTTTCATGTGAAACAAGTAAATTTTTATAAAAAAAATGGACTGTTTGACCTTTGCATGATGACTGTAATGTTAAGATTTTCACACAAAATTAAGAGTATTTTTTCATAAAATGGGATAATTTTGATTTAACTTAAAATGGGAGAGATTTGATTTTCACATGAAATGGAAGAATTTTGATTTTCGCATTAAAATTAGAAGAAGTTTGATTTACACATGAAATTGGAGAAATTTGTTTTTCTCCCATGAAATTGTAGTATTTTCATAATCTCAAGAAATGGGAGAATTTTTACTTTTACATTAAATGGGAGAATTTTTATTTTCACACATGAAATGGGACATAAGCCACTTGTGGCTGAGGGTCTTCCTTAACAGTTTGAAGTATCAGAATTGCAACCACCAAATATCCCTGCATGATCGTAAGAGGTGACTAAATGGGTTCAAATTACTGGAGGCTATGCATTTCTTAGCTCCAGCAGGTAAGGTGTTTTTGACCCTGGTGTTGCCTTAAGTTTGTTACACCTGTGATTACCCAAAATGCATCTTTCCTGTTTTGGTGCCATATGACCTATACTGTGTTTGTGTGCTGTACAAACAAACAAACGAAATGCGACGAGATTCTATTTTGATTTTTACATTAAATGGGTGTATTATTTTACCTGTGCCTGATGATGCTGATTCCGCAATGTTAAGTTATTTGGATCCTCCTCAATCTTTGTGCGGATCTTGCGGAAAGTTTTGTTTAACTTGTATCTGTTGGCTATACATATCTCAAAAGATAGCACTGAAAAAAAAAGTCAAAATATTATACAGTGCATGAAACAATAACGATCGTTTATTGAAATGGCTGAACCAATCACATGGCTCCATTTCTTCAGATTTTAGCATAACTAAACCCATTTATTTATATGAAAAATTAATAAAAAGCAAAATTACCCAATCAGACATACACTTATAAGAATAGTGCAAATTTGCATATTTTTTATGCATAATTCACATCTGCAATCTCAAGCCCTCAGACTTTATTAAATCCCTCAGGTCTTAATTGTGCTCTTGATTGTAGGTTATATATTGTTGTACTTCTTATTGCACAAAAAAGGTACATTGACCACTATAATAACTGCAAGGGCAGTGGTTATGATATTAAAATTATATTTGCAATTATGTTGTTGATTTGCTGTTGTTGTTGTTGTTGTTGTTGTTAATAGTCAGATGACACTGATGATGATGATGATGAAAAGTAATTGTTTGTAATAATGGTTGTATCAATAATAATGATGATGACGATGATGATGATGATGATAATTGCAATGTTATTTATAATAATCATATGCTGTTGTTCATGGTGGTTTTGTTATTTGTTTCAGATCTAATACACAAGAATTGTCAGTTTTGTTATAAGAGGGAGCTACATGTATACTGTATTACTTATAAATCTTATATATAGGCGTACATGTAAATTTCTAGTCATACAGTCATACTTACAATTCTGGTCCTTCACGTCAGGTTTTACTTTATCTTGTTTAGAACCAACGGCCACCTCATTATGTACAGAGCTGAAATGTAAACTTCCAATATCATAACACATCATTCTGTCAGATTCATATTACATTTGTATATATGAAATAAGAAAGAAAAAGTCATGTCCACCCTATCAAAAGTTAACGAAAAGGGCAAAATGTTCGCCATAGCAATAACGAGTGGAGATGCAAATGTCTGAGACAATTATCTCGCGCGGGTGGGGGACAAATGTCGTATAATAGAACACAATTTAAAATGATACCGCCTCATTTCAATTACGTGCATTTCTAAACTTCTAACGAATCATTCAAAGTATCGTCATCATCATATTGTCCGACAGCATTTTCGATTCATTTCCCCATACCTGTACACTAAATTATGCTTCTGTAAATGCCGATTTATATTATAATAAAGAGCTATCATTTGTTTTAAGTAAATTTATAAACAGTCAGGCTACTTAGCAAGCCTTGTTATTCCAAAATTGATTTATAACACAATTGTTTAGATTGCCTTCCTATTTATGATAAACTTCGAACGATAATTTATTGATCGGTTGTTATGTTTAAATTGACGCTTATACACCTTTTGTTAAAACCTTCGAACACTCAATGTAAACATTCAAGATAACCAGCGATAACAGTAAATTCTTTTATATAAGCTTTTATCAGATTATTTACATTTACCTAACATATATTTTTTAGTGTTTTTTTAAATAAGGCTTCAAACTCGATTGCTATACAGTAAATTATACGGAAAGGATTTTTTTTCTACGAGTATGAGGTTGCATTTAGAACCAGTTTAAAGATCTTTAAAGAGTGATATAAGCACTATTGCAACTTTCAATCAAAAACGTGCACACCAACATTCTAACACATACACATGTCCATAAGACATTGTTCAATGGGAAAAAACTTAAAATGTCACGATGGGGTTCATAGATACTTCAAATATCACCTCAAGCACGGGCATATAGTAATACATGTATACTGATATGATTAAATGAGGACCGTCACTAATATATAGAATTGGTATGAGAGAGTTTTACTTTAGTACTAACTCACTCACTGGCAATTACATAAGTCAATAACGCAATCTTCGATTAAATTTCGACTTTTCGTTTTTCTGAAACCCGCAAATTAGTTTTTTTTCTTATTGAGAACAATCGTGTTGAAATAAGGAAGAACTGGGTATGATGTTAATTATTTTATGATAATAACAAGACATACCTGCTCTGTGAGGAGAACACGAAGCCGTATGACTCGGCCGAGTACAAGCAGACGACGTCCCCGATACACAAAGTATCGTCTGCCATCAGGTTCTCTAAATAAACCCCTCACGATTTCAAACTTTTTGTATTTCCAATTTTAGTCCGTCATCTGGTTAAGTTTTTTGTTATTCCACTTTTATAATTTTAAAAATCGTTTTTGTATATCCCCGACCTTCGTTTTTTTCTTCTTTTCACAATTTATAATTATCCTTTACTGTTTGAAACTATTATTAAAAATAAAGGTAGATACACCGTTGTGGAATAAATATATAATTCTTTTTGATCACGTATTAATAAACTAACTTGAACTTTACTTTATTTCAGACCTATATTTTTATATTCATTATCCATAAAAATTAATCCCAATTTACAAAACCGCTCCTGTTCAAACACATGTTCCTCAATGAATAGACAAGTTAAGTTTTACCTATTTTTCTATTATCCGATCAATTCAATACACCAATCGGGGTAGCGGTCTTACATGGGTATCGATTCGTTCATGTACACAATTGGCAATCGCGTGTGTATTGTAAACTTTGAAATTAAAAAATATATTTTTTTCTGTTTTACAATTGCTGGCGAAATAAGATACGACCTTCCTAACTTTATTAAAACTTTTATTCGTTGATTTAAAATATTTGATTTTAGGACTATTATTAATCTATATTTTGATTTAGATCTATATGTAAAGATAAGACGTCCTATTGTGATTTAATTAAACACCTACCACGAATGTTCAATAATCGTTTACAAGTTACCAACATGTACTTGCAATATACATGTAATATAAATTTGTTTAAGAAATTCGTTTAGTATGTGATAATTTTTATTTTAAATATCATGACGTGATATTTTTTATTCATTAATACTAAAAAATTTTTTTTTCCCAAAGATTAAACTTTTTAAAATAAGTAATTTTTATTAAAAATAACTCTAAACTTTGCACGACTTTCACAGGTTTCTTGGTCCTGTAAAGAGTGACCTCGTTGAAGACTTTAAGACGCGTCCAAGGCAACACTGTTAGAAACATTTTTCAAAGAGTTTGAATTGGTCACATGAAAAATCACATTGAAAGAAAATAATACAACCAATTATTAATCCTAAGACCAAATCCCAAACCAATACAAAATAAGTATCTAAGTCCCCGACCTGTCTAATTCTCATTATCAGAAAGTGGAAAAAACCCCCCACAAATTTTGTTAATAAAGACACATTTCATGTTGTTATTCAAAAAAAAAGGTCAGCAGGGGTCTTCAATTTTACAAAAAATATGATTAACATATTTAAATGGAAATAGAGAAAACAGATCCTAAAGAACACTCAAAACGACAATATTGAACATAATATGGTGAAATTTTAAATCAAGAAACATCGGCAGATGATAGCAATGATCATGGAACTTCAATGTAACACTTTCGGGCCATTCCATGAAAAAAGGAGTATGGTCCCAAATTAAAAGAAAGCGTGTGCTATAAACGAGAACTGAATAAAATGTTATTTTTACGGTCAGAGGTTGTCTTATGTTTTTTTATTAATTTAACCGTGTTGGTAATGTGTAAGTTCGATACGACAATTTATAAATTGAAAATAACTGCGTGAGCGTAAGAGGGGACTATATGGGTTCTAATGAGTCTTTTCATCGCTTAAATTTGGAATATTCCCCAGTTCCAGAACTGATTTGGATTTATGGCCCGGATTGATTTCAGGATTTTGAGCTTGACGGGGTGAAAGAATATATGATGTTAGTCTTCGAATATTCTGCGTGCACGGAACATTGCAATGTTTAAGGAATTCATATACAACTTTATAAGGTTTGTAAACGGCCTTTTTATCAGTTGAAATAAAAAAAAAACAAATTTCACATGTAGTGAATTAGTCGTTAACACTCACATAAAATTGTCAAAAAGTCATTATCATCTCTGATTTTTCAGAAATTTCATGCTCATATTATAGAAAAAAATCATTCCGCGACAATTAAGTGGGTTTGGTAAAATGTTTTGTATAGTACATGATTTGTACGTGTTTTTATGACAACCATGAAAATACCTAGGGCACCGGATTGAGTCATATTTAGCAAAAACAAGGCAACGGACTGGTCACTGCAACAATTAATCAACCACCGAATTCTTATGTATAAGTTGAACAAAGGCTCGTCACTAAAATCTATCAATTTGTATATACATATTAAATGTATAAAATGTTAAAAATATTCTTAATAGTTGCAAATACCAGCAGGCAAAAATCAAAGCAACATATACGTTTATATATGAACATTTGAAACTTTCGACAGATTTATAGTGTTGTCAAATGAAAACCGATCATTTTTCTGTGTAAAATACACAGGAATTTGGATCGTATAGCGATAGTACATGTGGAATCAACGTTTATGGATTGCCTTAGAAAGTATTAAGGCTTCCAGAAACTAGTTTTGGTGATTTTGAAGCGATACTTTTGTGCTTTGTTGCACGGTCTCTATTGTTTAAGTAATTCAGGAGTTGTTGCCCCTGTTTTTGACTCTCTTCCAAGACATCTAAAATATCAAGAAGAATATGTGTACTTTCCTTTTTTTATTTTAAAGAATAAAACACATGTAAAGTCCAACATAAAGTGACTTTACTAAGGAAAGACACACTTTTTAAGGAAAGACCAAAAAAGATTTGAACCAATAACCATTGACGTTACAAAAAAAACAACCAATCAAAAATTATATATCGAAATATCCCGAACCACTGCCGGCGGCTTGTGCCGAAAAAAGGTGCTAAAACACTTTTTGTTCGCCTTATCAAACAAATATGGCTTAAGCCGGAATGGCTGTCTTAAGCCGGAATGTATGTCTTCTATTTCAATAAAGACTTATCACCAGAATTTGTACAACAGATTACTTATCAAAATATGCATTTTTTAGATTGCTCAACATCCAATTGAGAAATGACCGACACCTTAGCCTGTGGCAACCAAATGTGTTTTTTAGAATTTGAGAAAAAATATGTTTCAATACAAAAATGACAATTACAAAAATGTACAAAGATTATTTCATTGAGAAAGATTTTGCAAATTTTCATCGCATAACAATTTCCCCTCCTTTATTTTACTTTATTCCTATAAAATAAGCTAAGATATTCATATTGTAGTACACAATACACTTTCAATTGAAATAATGCTTCATATGAAGTCAAAAAAACATGATATATACAAGTTATGCATGTTCACATATAAAATGTTGACAATAATACAATAATATTACAGATGGCATTTAATACAGCTATGATTAATGACATACATAGTACTGCATTTTAATAAAATGTTTACAAGTTTGAACATTTACAAAAAGAAGTTACATTTGAACAATGTTAATAAACATTATATATACAGGTATATCATAGTAACACACAGTCATGAATCATATAGTACATTTTGTACTTTGTTTATAGGTGCAATCCTCTAAAATGCAAAGCAATAGGCTTTCAATGGTCTCATTAAAACTGTGGTATTAACAGATTTTTATGTTTAACATAAAAATGCACTGAATATGTAGTTTTCATAATATTTCTCAAACGTTTAGATTTTAGACAATTCACTTTAATGTAAGGTGAAATGTGAAAAACTTGTTCATTCAGGATATTCTGTATCTTGAAAACATCCCAAGAGAATGTAACAATTGGGTTCCATAACCCTTGAACTTGAATACAGGAGATTTCCTGTGGAACAGTTATTTTCCAGTAGTTTGGACACAATGATAAGTTATGCAATGGAAAATGAATGCATGTTTTTCCATTGGTTATTTCAGCTATAATTTGTGTGGATCTGTTTCTAATTGTACATTTTTTTATTACCAAAATGAACACTAAAATCATGGTAAGGATAGTAAATGTAAGTATATAATGTTCTAGCCTAATGTCTAAATTTTGCAAAAAATAACTATCTGGACTTTGGGTTGTTGTTGGTTTCTTATACACAAAAGATGGTATAGTGGCTGCATGAGCTGTTTTAACTGTTGATTTTTGCAAAATAGATAAAGTGATGAGAACCTTTCTCAGTTTCAAGGAAAGGACAACAATAATAATTAAACAAAAAGAAGTTACAGCTGTTGTACAATACAGCAGTATGTCATCTGAAGAAGGCCAGTCATTTTGTAAAGCAATATCTCCATATAACAGTGGATCAGTCATTGTTTGAAATATTAGAGCATCATTTTTTGCAGCTTTGGCCATTTTTTCCAGATTTAAATGATTTTTCCTATCATCAGCAAGTATATTTTGCATAGAATGGTTGTAAATTTTAAATTGTGGCACATCCACAGACATTGGATTTTCAAACAGTAAATTACTTCCTATGTTTTGTAATTCAGTATCATTGAAAAATTGCTGAAGTAAAGCCAAGTTAACTGGGTGTAGTATACTGGTTGTGTTTTTATGACAAGCAGATAGTCTGGGTGGTAAATATAGTGTATCTGTTGCTAATGAACATTCACAAGGTACATTTATAATACAAAATGTACAGCCTTTGTTTACTTTAGTGTTTCCTTTACAATTCATATGAAATGTATCTACATTATATAGTAAAACAGAAGTATGAGACAATTGAACCATGTTAGCTGACAAATGATTAACCAAAAACCTAAAGTTACATTTTCTTTTAATCAGAAGTGTGTCACCTTTGAATAAGGCTGAAACACAAGTATCATCAGACATAACTGACAAAACTTTACTATATTTGCATAGGTAAATTTTACCAGAGTTACAGTTATTCAAATCTATCAAGTCAAGAGTTGTATAAAGCTTTAAATCATTTGTTACAGCAAAAATCTGAGGTAAATCCAACAATTGTGTGGCATGATCTGATGTTTTATTAATTGGAACCGGAAAAGATAATACCTTATAAAGTAACATAGGCTGTTGAAATGCAGATATAGGAAATTTGACAGATATATACAATTTTGAGCCTTTTCGTGCAAAAATAAATTGTACTATTTTGTATATTTCATTTAGATTTTCTGAAATTAAATAATGTCCTTGAAATTTTTGATGTAAAATAACTTGTATTTTTGACATAGTATTTTGCATGACAGATACTGGAATTATATGTGGAGATAACTTTCCCTCTGCTAAATTATAAACTCCCATTAATAATTCATTAAAACTATGTTCTAACATTCTAGACTTTTCAATTTGTTTAGCCATCAATACATTCATTGTAGCAAAAGATTGTTCAAGATTTTCAAATGAATCATATAATTGTGTCTGAATATGCTGAATGGCTATTTCATTTTCTTTCATCCCTTTAACAATGTTAGATACTCTAGTATCCATTGTATGCATATAAGAGGCTAAATTATTTTCATGTTGTTCAATATTGTAAGTCATTGTTCTGGAAAGTTTGTTCAAGGCATTTACATGTTTTGCTAACATTTCTACATCTCC